ATTGTGGTGTTACTTCTATGGGGCTGGTGGCTATTGGCTAGGTGCTGGGATTGGGAGGGGGAGAGAGGTGATTGGTCTTTAGGTGGCGCCGTCGGGAACCGAGGACCCAGAAGAGAAGCCGGAAGTTCGCCATCTTACTGATGGGGGCCCTTCACAACCCACCTTAGCAGAAACGGAATAAATCTGGAACAGCAAGGGACTGTCAGCATCTCCACAGAGACCCTAGGGGAGGCGCTGGTGATCAGGACGTGGGGGCAGCTGAGGCACAGACAGAGGCCAGGGAAGGGATAAGAAACTGAAGGAGGGGACAAGTCTGAAGTGGGCTGGACCTGGTCCATGAGAAGCTCTTGCTGAGGCAGTTATTTTTAACCCTGTGGACATTATGGACCCCTTTGAGAAACTAAGGAGGCTCTGAGCCCCATAAAAATGACCAAACATTACAGACAGGATTTTGTATATACTTTTCAGGGAGCCCATCAAAAGCCAGGAGTCCGGATCAAGAGTCCCTCTAATAAGGGTTTACTGAATTACTAGCCCTGTGACTCAGGCAAGTCGTTCAGCCTTCCTATGCCTCAGTTTCCTTACCTACAAAAGTGCCCACCTCCTTGAGTTGTTATAAGGATTAAGTGAGGTGATCCATGCAAAGCACCATGACCACCTTGTGGTCATGCTTGCCAAACAGTGAGCAGTCAATGTTCATACAGCCCAGACAGGAGTACTGCCATTTTGAATAAGCCCACCCACCACCATCTCAGAGAGACCTAGGTTTCATTTTACTTAGGCTACCAGCATTTTCCAGAGGACAGGTCAGCAAGCCACAAGCCCACCTTTTCCCTGGCCCATCCCCTTAAAAGCCCACCAAAAAAAAACAGCCATAAAAAGCCTCTTAGCCTGTAAGAGATGCCTTCTTTGTTCTGCTAGCCAGAACAGAGGGGACCCTCTCAGGTTTAGCAATAAACCTGCTTAGACTCTTGTGTTTGCATCCCTTCTTTTTCTTTTAGATGTTACCTGCCATTCTTAGTGCATCTCTTCAGTGGTAGTTCATCTCAGCATGTGGGGATGCTCTTGACCCTGCGTGTAAGAAATGCAATGCCAACTAAATGGGGGAGGAAGTTGGCATTGATCCAGATCAGGGAAGAAATGGCTGGTGGTGGTGGGAGAGGCATCTCAAGGTCAATTCCACTTGAACAGATCTTTTCTTCCTCATCCCCAAAGGTGGAAAAGCTAAGCACTTTGCATATAGTATCTCATGTTTCCCACCCAATATCCCCCAGAGGGAATCACTACCTTCACTTTCCATATAAAGAAACAGACTCAGCAATAGTATGTTGACTTGCCCAGAGTCACACAACTCCTAAGGGTGGAACAAAGGGTAGAAGCATGTCTGGTCCCCAAACTTGTATTATCTCCTCTGTGCCTTAGTGAAGAAAGAGTGAGCAGGAAAGAGACGAGCAGAGTCAAGAATGGTCACTGGTCCACATCCTTCTCTGGGGAGCCCCTTCCCTGGTGCCACAGGGCAGACAAGGCTGCCTCCCTGGGGTGAAGTCTTGGCAAGGGGCAGAGCACTGTCTGTGGCTGGATTTGACTTGTGTGCTCAGTGACCTGGAAGCTCAGGCTGAGAATGGGAGCACAACTGTTGCCAAATTCCTCGGCCCTGACCTGTCCATACTCCACCTGCCCTCATCAGTGAAGTAGGGTCCTCAGCCACACAGACCAGGCAAGGGGGGGATTCCTGGGACAGCCCACCCACCCCTTTCTCCAGGGTCCAGGCAAAAGCCCTTGGCCGTCACCCGACCCTGGGAAGCTGCCTGCCTTTATCTGTGCCTCCCAATAACTCCCCACTAGTACCTTCCTTCCTTTCTGATTGCTGATTACAATGTCTTGTCTGTAGTTTTTTAAAGAAAAAGGTGACAGGGGTGGGAGGAAGGAGGAAAGAGAAGAAGTAAATTTCCAGCAATTGTATTGCTGCTCCTACTGCTTGGAGAAAAGCTGTTTGCCCCGCTCCTCTTCCCCAGATTGGCAAAGAGCCTGGGCTCCTGCCCCTCCCTCTTTCCCTGCCTCTCAATCTCTCTCTATTTCCAGCTGTCCACATCCTCCCTCCAAACAAAAACACCCACATGAAAACTGCAGAGCCATCACTTACTTTTTCCTGTGGGAGCAGCGTGCCCTCTGTGCCTCTGCACGAGGAACCACCATCACCTCCTCTTGCTGCAAATGCACCCTGACGATGTGAGGCACGGAGGGCTGGGAGCAGGTGGAGGTGAGGCTGTAGGGGGTGATGCCTCCTTGGGGAAGGGAAAAGGTCCTGGGCACAGGACTCAAGAGACACAAAAATGCAGTCTTGACAGGAATGGAAATGGCCGTGGGTCAGAATGTGTGGCCTGTGGGGAGAGGAGACCAGAACTAGGGTCTTGCAGGAAGGTGCCTGGTGGAGAAGATCCTCCATTTGCATGTGTCAAAGGCATTGAGAAGGATACAAAAATTCTCGAAGGTCCCTCATTGAGAAAAGATATCCATAGGGTAGAAACTGAGATCCTAAAGAGGGTAGAACTGTCTGAAATATCAAAGTAACCACATTTGTCATTGTCATAGCTCTTCATGAGAGTTTTTGATCCAGGAAAGGTCTGATGTGTAAGTGGAGTTGTGACATAATAAATATATATTTGTTCTTTGCCTTCAGTTCCTGACATACAGCTCTTAAAACCCCTGAGTGGTGGGGCTGACAGGAGCAGCTCACACGGAGCCCCTAAATCTCTGGGGATCTCCTGGGTGGTGAAGCATCCTTTGTTCTGACAAGGAGACTCTGGATGGTCTCCTGGATGGCTTCAGGACGGGACTGGTCACCCAAGATCAAGCCATGAATCCAGCCTCATTCCCTGCCCCTATCCTCAGGCAAAAGTGGGGCTGGAGATTGAATGAATCATCGATCATGCCTATGTGATGAAGCCTCCATTAAAGACTCCTAAACTATGAGGTTCAGAGAGCTTCCAGGTTGGTGAAAGCATCCACATGCCAGGAGGGTGGTTCATCCCAAGTCCACAGGGACATTAGCTCCAAACCTTTCCCAACATCACCCTATATACCTGTTTAGCTGGCTATTCATTTGCATCCCTCATTATAAACCAGGAAACATAAGTAAATGTTTCCCTGAACTTTGTGAGACATTCCAGCAAGTTATAGAAACTGAGGGGGCTTTGTGGGAGCGCCCAGTTTTGGGACCAGGTTAAACAGAAGTGTGAGGACCTTGGGTACCCATTGCTTGTGAATAGCATCTAGTGTGAGGACAATCTTATGGGACTGAGCCCTTAACCTGTGGAGTCTTACACTAACCCCTGGTGGGTGGTGTCAGAATTAAACTTTAGGGCACCCAGCTGGAGTCCGGAGAGCTGGAAAACTGGTTGATGTGAGGCAAAAATCCCTACACACTTGGTGTCAGAAGTGTTATGAGTAGAGAAACAGTTTATCTATGGGAGGCTTTGGAAACCATGGCATTAGAAGTATTCCCTCCCATGGGGGTGCCGGAGGAGATGCCTGCTGCACGGCGATGTGAACGGGCTCTGTGCCCCTGAACTGTACACTTAAAAAAACTAAAATGATAAATTTGATGTTATGTTTACTTTACCACAATAAAAATTTTATTAGAAAAAAAAAACCTGTTAGAATGAATAAACAAAATGTGGTATATCCATGCCATAGAATATTCTCAGCCATAAAAAGTAATGAAGTACAGATACATGCTACAAGGCAGATGACCCTCAAAAACGTTATGCCGTGAAAAAAAAAAAGCAGACACAAAGGTCACATGAGTATGATTGCATTTATATTAATGTCCTTAAGTAGAATGGCAGTTACCAGTGGCCAGGGAAGAAGAGGGGAAGAGGGAAGGAGGGCTTAAGGGGCATGGGGTCTCCTATGTGGGCGAAGAAAATGTTTGGAACTAGATAGAGGTGGTGTTTGCACAGCAATGGTACTGACTACCACCAAATTGTACATTTTTAAATGGTTAATATCGTTAGGGTAACTTCACCTCCATTAAATGCCTAATCCCCTACAGCCAGTACACCCTCAGCCCTACAGTCTGCAACACAAGGGCCCAGCTCCAGGTGGCTCTGCCGTCAGCACGGTATGCCTTGTGTGAGACAGGCGACCTCTCTGGGCTTCCCAGAGGATAAGGACGCCCATCCTTCCTCCCCACAGGGGTTCCTAGGGATCAAATTATTAAGTGAGGTGACACAGGTGTTCACCAACAGCACAAACCCATGGGTGCCAAGCCTCACCCTCTGGCTTGGGGGGAGACAGAGGCCTGGTGACTCTGTCTGTCTGTCTGACTCTCTCTCTCTCTGCCACCCTTGCCACACTTCTCAGGGAAAGGATGGGATGGTGAGGAGAAAGGGTGCTTCTTCCCACCCCCATCTGAGTTTCCCTGCAGCCCAGGGCTGCCTCCTTCCCTGTGAGGCATTCAGTCTTCCGTCTGTCTCCAGATTCTCATCTCAGATGGCAAACTGAAGGCTGGGGACAATGGTCAGGGGTGGGTGTGAGCCAGCAGGGGGGGCCAGAGTGATTAAAAGCTGGACTAACTCTCAGACTTATTTTAGCCCTCCCACCCCAATCCAGTTCCCCTTAGAAGAAATCAAGACAGGGCAGAGTGGGATTTAAAGCCAATTTAAAGAGTGGAAAACACATATGCAAAGCATTTACCAGTCTTGACTCTGATAAGCACCTCATCTTGGTGATTATTTAATTCTCACAATTAATTCTCACTAATATATCCCTATTAGTAGATACTATTGTTGACCCATTTTGCAGAGAAGAGAACTGAGGTTTAAAGAGGTAAATTCACATAGCTAGTGAGGGAGGAGTCTGGATTTTAATGCTTGCAGCCCAACTCCTCCCTGCTGCTGGCACGTGGGTCTTTGGCTGTGACCTCCCCCTCTAACTGGATTGGGCAGGCAGGAAAAGCCCCCACCCCCCACCATCTCCCACAGAGCCTCAGCCACTGATAACGCTTCCCGGATGAGAAGGGGGGCCCGGAAGCCCAGCAGGGCCAGCTCCAGCAGCAGTCCCTGCAGCCTCGGTGCAGCTCTCCAGCAGTCCAGCCCCGCTGGCCCTCCAAACCAGAGGTGCTCCCGACAGAAACTCCGGTGAGTGCCACTCCATCTCAGAGGGAAGAAGGGAATCCACACAGAGACTACCAGCTTTCCTGCATGACCTACAGATGTCCCCAAGGGTGAATTAGAGGGGCGTGTGTGTGTGTGTGTTTGTGTGTGTGTGTGTGTGTGTGTCCCACATCCAAGGCCCAAATGGCAAGACAGAGCAAGAGCCCCTAAGAAAGGCCCACATGAAGGGCCAGGAGAGAACTGGAGTTGGAGTCCACCTAGGGCTGGAAACTGGGTGGGATTGGCCAGGCTGGGAAAAAATCTGGTTGGGCACAAACAATTCTGTTCTCTCCCACCACTGAGGCCTCTTAACAAAGTATCTCTGCTCTAGGGTCAAAGCCGGCAAGTGAGTTTACACTATTTATCCACAGCTTGAAGGCTAAATGTCCCTTTCTTGACTTTTCCAACCCAGAATCTTTCCCCAAAGCCTTCTGGTCCCTGTGGCCTGCTACTTTGGAGACCTAAGGCTGCTTTCAAGGTCTCCTTTCTCTTCCATCCCTCTCTTCTCCTGACTAGGCATTTGCTGGTCCTAATGTCAGTCAAAGCCAGTGTGGGGCCTGGCCCCTCTGAGGGGTTCACCACAGAGCCTGCCAGCAACTTCGGGGAGATCCACAGCTGGGACGAACTGCTCTCCTTCTTCAACCACACTTTGCCCGAGTGCCACATAGAGCTCCGGGAGGACACCAAGCAAGTGGCCCTGTTTGTCCTCTACCTAGCCATCTTTGTGGTCGGGCTGGTGGAGAACCTCCTGGTAATATGTGTTAACTGGCGTCCCTCGGGCCAGGAGGGGCTGCTGAGCCTCTACATCCTCAACATGGCCATAGCGGACCTGGGCATCGTCCTCTGTCTGCCCGTGTGGATGCTGGAGGCCACCCTGAACTACACCTGGCTCTGGGGCAGCTTCTTCTGCCGCTTCACTCACTACTTCTATTTCGCCAACATGTACAGCAGCATCTTCTTCCTGGTGTGCCTCAGTGCCGACCGCTACATCACCCTCACCAGTACCTCGCCCTCCTGGCAGAGCCGTCAGCGCCGCGTGCGGCGGGCTGTGTGTGCAGGCGTCTGGACGCTCTCAGCCATCATCCCGCTGCCCGAGGTGGTCCACATCCAGCTGGTGGAGAGCTCTGAGCCCATGTGCCTCTTCATGGCACCCTTTGAAACATACAGCGCATGGGCCCTGGCAGTGGCCCTGTCCACCACCATCCTGGGCTTCCTGCTGCCCTTTCCTCTCATCACAATCTTCAACGTGCTGACGGCCTGCCGGCTTCATCAGGCAGGGTGGCCCAAGGGCCGACGACACTGCTTGCTGGTGTGTGCCTATGCAGCCGTCTTTGTCATCTGCTGGCTGCCTTACCACGTGACCCTGCTGCTGCTCACCCTGCATGGGACCCACATCTCCCTCCACTGCTACCTGGCCCACCTGCTCTACTTCTTCTACGACATCATTGACTGCTTCTCCATGCTCCACTGTGTCGCAAACCCCATCCTTTACAACTTTCTCAGCCCAAGATTCCGGAGCCAGCTGCTGAACGCTGTGGTCCGCTACCTTCCCAAGGTCCAGGCTGGGGCGACTAGACGTGCTTCCTCTTCCTCTTCCTCCACTCAGCATTCCATCATCATCACCAAGGAGGGCAACCAGCCACTGCAGCAGGCACCCCCGACCAGCCAAGCCTGAACTTCCGGGCACCAAAAGCCTCACCCATCTCGGCTCCTCAGTCTCTTGGAGCCAGTCCTCCAGCACTGAGGGAGAAGGCTGGTGTAGGTGGGATCTGGTGGGGAGTGAGGGTCAGGGTCAGAGCACTCATGGTTAATTTTGAGTTTGTCTTAAAATATTGAGGAGGGGAGAGGAAGAGAATAGGAAGGGGGAAACAAGTCATTGGTGTTGTACTGTTGTCTCAGTCTTTGTGTCTAAGGGAGACACGCAAGAAAAAAAGGTGAAATAAACAATAGAGACAGCCATCACTCTGAATCTCTCAAAAATCTGCACTTCTAGCTGGGATTGGGAAGGGAGTTTAGATAAAGAGATGTCAGCAGAAACTACACGCAGTCATTTCAGAAACCACCCTGGCCGGAAAGAGTGACCTCTGCGGGGACCTCACAAAACTTTCCTTTTGTGTTTATGTGTACTGTTCATCTGCCAGCACACCAGGCAGGCTGTGGGGACAAGAGGCCAGAGGCCAAGGAACCAGAAGGCTTCAGCAGGACATTTCCTAGCAGTGCATCCTCAGTGATATGATACATGGAGGGGACAGGGACAGGAGGGGTGGGGTGAAGCCGGGGTCTGAGATAGGCACCCTGCAGCTGAGTCCGCAGGGTGGTTCTCAACCCCCGCCATCCAGGAAACGACTCCATTTCCTTGCTGTTGCTCTCCCCTCGGTCCAAAGCACAGGCGCTGTCCCAGTCAGTGCTCCTCCTAGCCCGATCCTCCCCACTTTGGGTCAACATTTCCACACTTCCAGGAAGAGATGTTATCAGAAATCCACCCCGTCCCTCCTTCTCTCCCCAGATCATCGGAAATGATCGAGAGACATCCATTCTGAGCAGAGCTCGGGACAGCCAGCAGCAGGCACTGACAGATGCCAGGTCGCTCAGCCTCTGTCCCCTCATGACATGGGCAGGCAGAAATTTCCCAACTCTGCCACAGGACAGAGTTCTGGTATTCTCCCAGATCAGCTCTCACCCTTACACTTCCTTCTCCCCAGCCGTCTTCTCATCTCCCTGCCCAGCATCTTACTTCTACAGCACTTGTCCTATCCATAGGGAAGCAAGTCTATTTGTTAACAAGTAGGTTTTCTGGGAAATGCTCACTACTCATTTTGGGAAACTTGGACCATGTCTGTGAACTCTGATGTTACAAGCCTAAGAACAGGTCCTGGTCTACCTGTTCGAAGTCCTGGGCCTCTTAATCCTGACTGTGGAGTGTAAAACTTGTGGACATAATCACTGAGGGCCTCCTCCTGCTCAAATGCTCAGGACACCTAGAATGTTAAACTTGGAATAACCACTCGCTCTGCTCTTAGAAATCTTAAACTGTATTCACCAGATGCATTAAACATGTACTCCAGCAGGGTAGGTACCCATTTGTCAGGAGCATTGAGAGAAAATCTGTATTTACAATCCCCTTGGCTCAGGGGGCCCAAATCCAAAGGGGCCTTAAGCTGTGAACAGCTGCTCAGTGGCACAGAGCTGCAGGCTTTTCCCCAAGAGTCCAGGTTTTGACTTGGGATTGCAGTAAGGGCTTAACCTAACAATGCAGAAAATGCATTAAAAACTTTCCTCCCTGTACCCACGTAAAAACCAAGCCCATATCACTGGCTCCTCTGACTTGGACTCTGAAGTTTCCTAAAGAAAACCCAATTTTACATCTCTGTCACATCCCAGGTATCTCAGAGGCTACTTCCCCAAGATCTTGCTCTTCTCACGGATCTCTCTGGCAACCAGTTACCACCCTGGCACCCTGAGTTCTTCCTTGGGGCCAGGGAAGGGGAGGGTGCTGTTCTGCTTGCAGCAAGGCTGCTCCCCTCAGCATTTACTGGGCACTGACGTTGGGCCAGGCACCAGCAATGCACTGAGACCACAGGGACCACATCACACCCTTCCTTCTAGAGGTCTGTCTCCTTCCCTGGGGGTATATTTGTTAGCAACCTCATGAAATGATGCCAAAACTCGGCCTCCTATCTGAATCTGCCTCTCTCCACTCCAACATACCCTGTCATGGAAAATTAAATGGCACTGGTGAGACAATTTGTGGCCACATCTCTAGTCCCACCAGATATTAGCAGTCCCACTGCTCTCACTGGGCCGAGAAGATTCCCCCTCTCACCCCCAGGGATGTTCCCCCTGAAAGGGCGTTGGGTCACTGACTTAACTTCCCTCTAAATATAGGTCAACAAGTTAACTCTGGGGAATTCCAGGTACAGGAAAGGAAAATGTGCTATCTGAAAGCATGCTGGCATCTGTTGAGCAGGATCCTGCTGCTGAACAGCCGAGGGCCTGATACGCTGAACTCAAGAGGGGCACAACCACAGCAAGCAGATAAAGAACTCCCAATTCAAATTTCCTTTTTTTTATTCTAAATAAAAAACCACACTTTCTGCTGAACAATGGAATATAAAAGAATCAGATGTACAACGATTTTAGACATCTACTATCTGGGAAAAGAAGTTTACAAAATATACAAAACTTTACAGCAATAGATAGTAAACACTTAAATATTAGGAGGTCAGTACTTATTAATTTAATGGAAGGAGTTAGACGTCAACAACTCTTCTTGGTTTCGTAAGAGACTTCAGCTAGTACAGGTGGAGGGGGGAGTGGGCTGGACAGGGGACGGATGTTAGAGTTAACAGTAAAACCGAAAGTTTCATTTTCAACATTGCGCGTGATGAGTGACCACGCTGAGAGCAGTGCTGTGCACCCACTCTTCCTGACTCCGCACAGGATCAGGGAAAAGGGCATGTGGGGGCTCCCAGGTGGGCACTCCTCCACACGGCCCACTCCCATGCCAACAAAACCAGTGTCCATCTATAAAGGGATTTAAATTCATTTCCAAAGTTGAGTAGTCTAGGCAAACAGGCCACAGCAGGTGGCCAGAAAAGGAAGAAAAATCATCAGTAGCAAACCTGACTGGAGAGCAAGTTTTAAGCCCAAAGGCTTGTCCTGGAGACAAAAGGGAGCTGCTCAGAAGAGAAAAAAGTTAAGAACTTTTACTCATTTCCTGATTCTTAGGGGTCCCTTGAGCCCAACCTCCACTTCCTTTTTTCCCCAACTAAGAATGATAAAGACTCCACAGAGCCATAAAATTTAGGACCAAACATTAGGGTACAGCAGAGCTTCCCGGTGGGTACTGTGGCATCAGGGAGCCACCCATAGGTCACAGGTTGGCTGGAATGCTGATGCCCTTCTCTGGCCATAAGCAGCCTCTGCTGTTCAACCCTGTGTGTGCCAGGCAAGCATTAACCTTTTCCCCTAGGAAACAAGCTGGGAATGACCTCATGTTTAGTTTACTGCTCTACAGCCCCACCTTGAAATTCTTACTAATTTTTAAACAAAGGGCTCTGCAAATTATGTAGCCAGTTCTGACTACGGAACAAGGAGAAAAATGGGAGAAGACAAGACATTCAGGGTCACAGTGAACCTTGGAACAATACAGCAGGAGACAGTGCTAACCTGGGCTCTGGGGCAGAGGGGGCAACAAAGTCAGAGAGGGTTGGGAAAAAAGACAGACCTTCCCCCAGGGCCACAATATAGTGTTTCAAGTAAAACAGTTTAGAAAAGGGTGAGCTGGAGGCAAAGGCAGTCAACATGACTCCACAGAGGTGGGTTCAGGTGTGAACGTGGGGGACACAAGGATCAACAGGTCTGGTCAGTGAGCCCCATGAGCTACCGATGCTGCCACAAGTCTGCCGGCAACTAACCAGGTCACTTGCTCGACCACCTGGCCCCAGGAGAGTCAGGGCTGCAGCTCTTTGTTTAGTGTTTCAGGGCAAACTTTCAGGATTTACTTTTTGGTTTACTGGCAAAAAGGGAAAACTTCACAGTTTGAGGTTAAGTAATACAGACTACGCAGCATCCATGATGCCCTCGTTTAAAAAAAAGGGTTTCTCCAGCACACTGATCCCTTCTCAGCTACCTGGTGGGGCTGGGGTCCGGTATCACCCCTCTCAGATTCAGACTCAAAAAATCAATGCTCACCAACAGTCTAGGAGGGAATCATTCAGGCTTGAAAGGCTCAGTAGACACTTGATTGTAACTTTTATACATTTTCCTTGTTAAATTTCTAATGGTCAATGTGGGAAACGGAAAGCAAATCAGGGAAAAGTCTCAGCACTCTGTCCTCACAGGCATGTCCGAGGGAGCACTAAGCCATCTGGGAGGGGTGATGAAAGGTGTCCACGAGTTCAAGGCCTTTCGTGTGCTGGTCACCCCACCAGAGAGCCAGGTAGCCAGCTCAGAGGCTTTATGAGCTTAGGGCTAAGCAGAAAGGCAGCAGACCCAATGTGTATAGGGCTTTGGTCCATCCTCACACCTTAATACCTTAATGCAGCTCTCCAAGTTCAGGGAGGGGGAGAAAACGCACAGACAGGCCCCCATGTGACTTGACCCCTCCAACCCAGCCCCCTGTCTATCCAGTCACAGGAAGGGATGGGAGGAAAGGCCTAGGAATTTAACAAGCTCCAACTTTTCAAACTTACATTCATTACCTAAAGGGTTCCCTGGGTTTATTCTGCGAGAGACTATCTGGAGAGAAAGAGAAGAACTTGCTTGTTTAAAGGCTTGACACATTCTCCCCTAGTTCTGGCCCCATTTCCCAGATCTCTGACCAGGACTGTCCCCTAGAATATGGCTACTTGCTGGGGAGAAACTCATTTTCCTGAAGTCACTTATCTAAAAGAGATGCTGGGTAATATGTATATGAAAACAAATATAAATAAATATTAACGTCAAAAGGCTTTGTGAGTTAATTAAAACTACTTGCTTGTGAAACAGCATGGGCTGCTGCTGAGTCCCATTAGGGGAGTGTCAGAGTGGAGGCCAGGGACCCCAGAGCTCACCTGAGCAGGGTGAGGTAGTATGAGTTACTGAGGTGCCACCTTGTGAACACGAGATCCGAGCGCCCTCTCCCTCAAGCCTTCTTTGGGCAAGACCCCCCTCAAAAGCCAACAGAGAACGGAGCTAACCAGCCCCACCGACTGGGCAAACGGGTTTCTTAGCCACCCCACGCGGGCCTGAACCAGCTGCTATCCAATAAGGCCACCTGGTGGCAATGCAGTGACAGATCAGGATAAATCCCACCAGGTCAAAGATGAGTGGCCAAAGCCCCCACCCAGTCAGCACAAAGGAATCACCAGGTCCCCGGACTGGACAGACTGAGTGCGCAAGCCGCTCCACGCCAGTTGCTTGGGTCCTTTTAATTCTAAAGGGCTCACAGCCCACCACTCCTCCACCTCAAGGGGTCTTCTCACCTACTCTACAGAACACTTGCGGGTGGGAGACGATGCACATTAAGGCAAGGCTGCTGCTATCAGACAATCCCCACCTCTCCACCAGGAAACTCGGCCCACAGAAGCAGCCAGATGATAGACGACGGCTATCAGGTGGCTCCCTGTCCTCTGTGCCCCACTGGGAAGGCCTGATGTCCTGGGCCATCACTCCGTAAGATCATGTTTCTTTGGAATTCAGAAGACAACGCTCCCTTCCTTTCCCTCCAGGCTGCCACTCCTGGCAGCACTGCTGGACACCTCTTCTGGTTGGCAAGGATTTGTCCCCAAGCATTCTGACCTAAACAGAAAGCTCTGTCCCCAGTTTGGACCTAGCTGCCCAAAGATCTAGCGTCTGATCAGCAGATGAGAGCCATGCACCAAACAGGCCCCTCCAACCCTGCCGCCTTTTCCCCTGAGGGCTGGCACTGGAACCTCAGGTGAGCTGCCCTGCCGACTCATTTTTTTCCTCTGGGTGTCCCAGCTGGAGGCTGGCAGTAATACCCACAGTGAAAACCCTCTCCACCTCCTCTATTCAGTGAGGCTGTTGGTTGGATTCTTAGCAGCATAAAACCTATCAGTAAACTAAAATTTGAGAGGCTGGGGAAGTGCATCTAGCTGACACCAACTGCCTGACGAGATCCCAAAACCAGCCTCCAAAGAATCAAAATCACAGCCCTTCGTGGGCAAGAACAGATAAGGAGGTAAACATTGTAGGGCTGTTGCTTCTCCAAAACAGTAACAGCTCATGTGCTATCTCTTCTTTTTTTCTTCTTTAAACACAAGACATAACAAATTCCTAGCAAGGCAAAATTGTAACTTCGGCTGGGGAGGGACCAACAGTCACGAGAAAACCAATGTCCTGGCTGCCGCTCCGGAGCACTGGTGCTGCTGGGACCCAGTCAGCTGTCTGGGCTCTTCTCCGCCTCTTTGGAATGGACGACGTACATAAAGGTCTGCTCGATGGTGAAGTCAGGCGGGAGACTGCCCTTGTGCACACCGACATGCCTGCTCATGAGGTTCAGAGTGGAGCTGTAGTGGCCACAGACTGTGCAGCGGTACATGAGGGCCCCTGAATGTGTCTTCAGGTGGCACTTGATGGTTGACCGGCCTCGGAAGAACTTGTGGCACACCTTACACTGGTATGGCTTCTCGCCCGTGTGAATGCGCCGGTGGTAGTTGAACTCACTCGTGTGGGCGAACCTTTTGCCACAGACCTTGCAGCCATACTTGCTGTTCCCAGGCTGGCCCTGTACAGCCAGCTCTTCACTCAGAAACTCCTCCGCAGGCAGCTTCCGCTTCTGCAGAGCTGGGTGCTGTAGCCCAAAACCAGGGCGTGTGCCAAAGCCACTGTTGCATTTGTGCTGGCTGACATGGTAACGATAGGCAGCCTCTGACTTGAAGCTCTGGCTGCATAAGTGGCAGTGGAAGAGGGCATCTTCCAGGCTTTGGTGTACAGCCATGTGCTTCTCTAGCAGATGCCGGTCTACAAAGCTGTTTGCACAGACAGAGCAGGAGAAGACCGAGATGCCGAGGTGGGAGAGCGTATGCCACATGAGGCTGCACAGGTTGAGGTGGCGCTGGTCACAGATGCTGCAGGCCTGGCCCTTCAAGTTTAGATGGTCAAGGATGTGGCCCCGGACCACGTGGAAATCTTTGGCCAATGCCTTCCCACAGGCAGCACAGTTCAACTCTGTGGAGGCTGCCCCTGAAAACAGACCCAGCTTCCCAGACAGGGTATCATTGGGGTGGACAATTATGTTGTTCTCAAATATTCCATCCCGTCGGTGGAGTGTCAGCTGCCACTGGGTGAAGAATTTAGTTTCACACATGTCACAGGAAAAGAGGAAAATACCAATGTGGGACAGAACATGGGTCACCCGGGAGTTTCGGTCCTGGAAATGGGTCTCACAGACCTTGCAGTTGCCTGTTAGCAGGTCCACGTGGTCTCGAGCATGCTGTCGGATCAGTTGGATGTTGGGCTCTAGAACTTTCTTGCATACCTGGCAGGGCATGGCCTTATTCTCTCGGTTGTCACTCTCCCCAAAAGTCAGCTCATCCTCACTGTCATCACTCAACTCAATCACCTCCTCAGCTGTGCCTATCTCCTCAGTGGGGTCTTCAAACTGCAAGTCATCATCCCCCAGATCCTCTAGGTGGAGCTCATCCATCTGCCCAAAGCCTGGATCTCTGGAGAGGTCACTATTGCTCACACAGGAGTTGGTCCCAGTGGTAATGTCTATTGCAGAGTCAGGGCTGATGAAGTTATTTTTACTGTAGTCTCCATTGCTCTGAACTTTGCATGGCTGGCAGGAGCTTGAGCTGGTTTGGACGCCCATGCTGACAGTGCCTGGGACTGGCTGGGTTGTGATACTAGGAACAGAAGTGAAAGGAGCAGGGGCATCATGGTTTTCTGTCTTTGGTGGCAGTGGCTGCTGTGGCGGAGGCAAGCTGTGGTTAGTGTCATTGGTAACATTTCTTTCTTCCTCTTTATAGCTTCCCCCAGCATCACCAGGTAGCACATAGTTTCTGTCAGCACCAAAGTGCTCCCCACCACCCCGGAGTTCTCCAAGGGGATGGGTGGGTCCTGTTGAGCTACCAGTCAGGGTACCAGGGTTGCTGCCACTGCTGCTGGTCAGGGGCTTGGCCACAGCAGTGCTCTCCAGGTCGGGAAACGTAGAGTGACAGGCCCGGAGGAGGTCCTCCATACCCAGGCGTTCCGCTACCTCATAGATGACTCCGACATTGATCAGGTCTGTGAAGAGCTCGGATGTGTAGACAAAGCTCAGAATCTTCTCAAAGTTGGCGGGAGTGATGAAGTCCACCACATAGGTCCTGGCAGCATCAAGCCCAGTGTTCAGGAAGAGGTTCTGGAAGTAGCCAGCCGCACAGGCCAGCACAGCTTTGTGGGCTGGGAAAGAACGGCTTCCCACCACAATGGTGACGTCGCACATGGTCTCGGAGAGCCGGCACTTGTTGAGTTCCTTCAGCAGGTTGTTGGGATGGTTGGTGCTTTGCAGTTTGATCCTCATGCCCATCTTAGCAGCTCCAATGTTGCCTCCTTGTCAGCACAGTTCATCTGTGGACAGAAAGGACAGGTGGATGGCCAAACACTCCCCTGCCAGTGAGGTCTCTGCAGGAGAAAATGCCACCAGCCAGAGCTGCCAGGCCCAGGCAGCAGGGCTGAACGGGTTTGGGGGACGTCTAGTTCTGCTGGGGGCAGGGACAGCAAAGTAATGGGATGATGGCCTCTGTCCCCACATATTCCCAAAGACAAACTTGTTATGACAAATCCAAAAGCATTTTTTAACCATCTGATAGCTTAGTTTCTAAGTCAGTAAGAGAGGTCGCAGGCCTGGTAAGACAGAAGCTAGTACCTCAGAGCCAAGCCAGAGGCATCCTCTCCAGCACCACCTTATACTTTACCACAGCAGCTGGCTCAAATTTTTCTATTAACATCCTAATTTCCCCTGAATCCCATCTCTCTGAGTATAGTCTCTTCCCTGAAGGCATCAAATGCCATATACATACTTGAACAAAATTACCAAAGCTCCATAAGCTGCTGAGGAAAAGATAAGGATGCTTCCACACTGTTTCCTATCACTGCTATCATTACAGTCCCTAAATGAATGTGCTGCTCATTCACGTGTCCCAACTCCCGACTCATGCTACCTGCCTGCTCCTTTGCCCTCCATCAGCCAGAGCCATTCGGATACTGCCCTCACGTTCTCTCTTCCTGTGAAGGGTGTTAAAGCCCTCAGAACCCAGAGAGTGAAGCTGAACAAAACTGCTTTATTATTTCTGTTCACCACCCTTTTCGGGATTAATGCATATGTTGGCCAAAACTAAGAGACTTCCCTGAGGCCGTAAGAAGGCAGGTAACTACACAGTAAGACTCCAGAAGCCCGGCTCCACAGAGCCCCCATTCCGGGCCCACAAGCCGAAGGTGAGCTGGTGGCTTCTCCCGCGGTCTCGCCCTCGCCTTCCCCCGCCTCCCCGGTCTCCTGACTCCCAGCTTCTCCCGGGGCCCAGGACGCTCTGCGCATTGTGGGGTGCCGGTCCAGCACCCCCGGCCCGGTGGCCACCCACCGACGGTCTGCAGGTCAGGCCGGAGAAGCCTGGGATGGGGGGTCGGGAAGGGGCAGACACGAAACTTCCGCGAAGGCGCCCCAGGCCCGCGGCGCCGCGGTCTCGCCTCTGCAGTCGCGGACCCGGGAGTGGGGGCGCTCCACGGGGGCCCCGAGTCCTCGACCGCGGCCCAAACAGCGGGGGGTGCCCCGGGACGACGCCGGGGGCGCGCGGGCCGGGGCGGGGGGCGCGGGGCTGGGGAGCTGGGGGCGGACGGGAGGGGCGAGCGGGTACGAGAGAAAGGCTGCGGCGGGGTCGGGCCTCGGCCGGGGCAGCCCTCAGCCCGGCCGCGCTTACCCGGCTCCGCGGGCCCGAGCACCATCGCCGCCGCCTCACACAAAGGCCCCGGCCCGCCGCGCCCGGCCCGACGAGGAGTCGGCGCCGCCGGCCGCGGCCAGACTCTCCATCCGCCGCGCCGCTCGCCGCGCCGGCCCGGGCCGCCCCCGCCGCCCTGCCCGCAGCGCCCCCCGCCGTCCCGGAGGAGGCAGCGCCCCCCGCCGCCGGGCGCCGGCGGGCTCCGCGTGTCCACCCCCGGCAGTCCCGCCTTCCCCAAAGCGCGGCACACCGGGCGGAAGCCCGCTCGCTCTTCAACCTCGTACGTGCACTAGCGAAGTCTTCCCCGGTTCTGAGCTGGAGGCGCCTCCTCGTCTACGTCTCATGGCCCCAGAAGCTTCTCCAAACGTACACTATTGTAGTTTTACAAAAAGGTGTTACTTGAGTTGACTGAGTTTGGTCCCCTCCTCTGGTCTGCGGGCTCCCCGAGAGCAGCCTTCTGTGCCTGCAGGCCCCGGCCTCCCAGAGCGCCGCACGCTTGTCGGTCCACAGCGTGGGTGCTTCCTAAGGCCCGTCTGCCCCTCCCCCAAAGGCTGGACGAACATGTCCATGAGAGCTGGGCCCACGTGGACCCCTGAAAACTCGCCGCTGCCCTCCTGTAGCCTGGGTGTTCAGGGCACGGGACCCACAGGATCCTACTGCGCCTTGGCAGCTCAGGCCTGTGTCCTGCTGCCTGGCTCCCCTAAGGGGGAGTGTAATTTGCTACCCCAAAATAGGCCTCTTGGGCATAAGGATTGTTTCAGGCTGACTACTTTTAAGAAACAGCAGAGACAAGAGATGCTCAAGAAAACTGAGTAGAACTTGAGACCGGGACCATGGGCTTAGACAGAATAGGGTGAGGGCCTCTGGAAAATGCAAGGCAGGCTATTTACAGTCAGAGCAATGTAACTACATGCAAGGAAACCCTCTATCAAAACTCTGTGTTAAGCATTAAGCTCTAGAGTCATTCTTCAGTGAGATCAGTTAATATTCCCCAGATAAAAAGGAGTAGCACATGTTTTTATTATGCTAATCATTTGTAATCATGCGTAAGATTCACTTTAGCATGCTAAAAGGCCCAGGCCTATGTGCTATCTTTCCTCCTTCAGATCTGATAAGGTGATTTTGCAAACTGGGCAATTAATTTAGCACGCAGACCCAGCTGTAAACAACATAGTAAAAGGCAGGAAGGATTCTACCTTAAATATAAGATTGCATTTTAACACCCAGGAAGTTTAAGGAGTAAGATTCTTAACGTACTCTTTAGCAAACAGACAATACCTTAGCCCACCTTGGGAGCTGGGCAGGCGGTCTTTTGATATGCTCCCAGACCAAGATGCCGGTATCCCAGGGCGAAATCAACGCAGGAAATTCTTACGTTAAGTTAATTCTAAATATTCACGGACTCCTAAGCTTTTTTCACGTCCCAAATATCCTCAACTGCGTGTAAAACCCCTAGACAATGCCCCACCACGGACTCTCTTGTCCCCCTCCTGGCTCACACCAGGAGCTCTGTCTGTCCTCTCACTGTATCTCTCAATAAGTCTCCCTGGCTCTCCTACCTTGACTGTTTGCTAAACTCATTCTTCGACTCCACAAACAAGAATCCCGGCATCAAAACCAAAACCACCCACCCCGCCTGCTGCCCCCCACCCACCCCACAATACCACCAAAGACATTAAAAGTCATCACCCCACTCTCCCTCAATACATAGGGACGCCTCAGGATCCAGGACCCTTTGCTTCAGGTGCCCCTGTCTCTGTCCACTGCCCAGGGAGAGAATGCAGCCAGACACAAACCCTCAGGGCAGCACTTGGTAGAGCTCAGTAATTTCTCCATGAATGAATGGGGAGAGGAGTACTGTAGTTCCTGAGGGAAGCAGTGTTCCCGGCCCAGGGCAAATAAACCGGTGTGACCAAAATTAGTCTAAGGAAAGGCTAGAGTGGGAGAAACCCTTTTATTGCTCACAGTGATACCGGCTCCGTTTGCACGTGCTCTCTGGTTTCTCCCATCCCTTCTAGCAAAAGCCCACTTAGTGTTCTCTCTCTCAGTCCCAGTGAGGCGCTCACTTCCCCACCCGCCCCTTCCGGGAGAAACTCCATGTGGGTGGTCCACAGCGACTGACAGGCGCCAGACCAATTATGCAACAGAGGGGAGGAGAGAACAGCCTCTCTCCACTCCTTGCCCCAGAGACTGAAAGAAGCTGCAGTGGGTACATGTAAATGAGCTAAGACCAGGCGAGAGATTCTGGAGATACTGCAATTTACCCCAGAGGGACACACAGGATGTTACCACTGATGTAAGCCAATTGGCTGTTTAGCAATCATCAGTTCTATTGGTGACTTTGGGAGACCATTTCCCCTTTCCCACAACGTAACTAGTGATAGACTATACTGAAAGCAAACTTGCTACCAAATGCTACCAGCGTGTAGTGTGTATTAGCAAGGAGATACCAAAGCAACCATATGAACTGTTCTTGTGGTCCGGGAGCAGGCAATCCCACTTAGCTCTCTGGTGCAATGGTCACTTGAAGGCTAACACACGTTCCAATGGCAAGCCAGCCACTACAGCTGCAGGAGGTAACCGAGTACCCCTAAATTATACAACCAGCAAACTGCAAACCCCAGCATAACTCTGAGACTGTGGCCTGTTCAGTCTTTCTAACCAACTGCCTTAACTGTCTCTGACTGTCTACACCAATAAATGTACTTCACATGCTAATAAGTCCCACTAAAGGTTAGATTAGGTTTATACTGCTTATGCTTGTGATATTGTAATTTATAAGAAATATATATGGTCTTCATCCCTGTTTCTGGCACAAAGCTCTTAGGGATTTCCTAGGTGATGAAAGCCTAAAGTGCCTTTTGTTATGTGAGGCACCTGAGGATGGGCTGGTTGCCTGGAGAACCAACCTTGTGAATAAAGGGTTGGAACTTTTAGTCCCAACCCCCTGACCGCCAGGAAGGGGATGGAGGTGCGGGGATCACTGGTAATCAATAATTTAATCAGTTATATCTGTATAACGAAGCCTCCAGAAAAACCTTAAAGGTCTGGGTTCGGAGAGCTTCCAGCTCAGTGAACACATGGAGAGTCAGGGGGAGGAGGGTGGTGGAAGTTCTGCCTTCCTTTCTCCATGCCCTGCCCTGTGCGTCTCTTCCCCCTGACTGCTCCTAAATTCTATCCTTTTATAATAAACTGACAATCTAGTGAGTAAATGGTTTCCTGAGTTCTGTGAGCCGCACTAGCAAATTAATCCAACCAGGGAGGGAGTCGTGGGAACCCCCAATCTGTCACAGGTTTCAGAAGCACAGGAAACAACCAGAGGCTTGAGACTGGCATCTGAAAGAGGGGCAGGGGCTGTCTTATAGGACTGAGCCCCCGATGGAGTCTGACGCTGTATCCATGTAGGCAGTGCTGGAGCATTGCTTGTTGCTGTGGAGAAACCTCCCACTCCACACACGTTGGAATTGGGTCCAGAATCTTTAATACGGGCATCTTTTTTGAAGTTAATCACCATGCAATCACAGTAACACGCAAGCACACGCTAAGGAAAGAAGGGCCAGGAATTCAGTCAAGGTCTTTTTGACCAAGTCTCCGCAGGCACCAACCTCTTTACAATGGGAAGAGGAGGGCCAGGACTCCTTCACACATTCTCCAAGCACAAAAACAGGAATCTGCTTTAAATCTTGTCTTTATATTTCCCGGAATCCCATACTGCAATTTCTGTCAGTCCCACCAGAGAGCAACCTTTCTGCATTTATGCTCCTACTTGGCAACACACTTGTGTCATCCCAGCTCACCTGCCCAACTCTCAAGTCTGAGCAGAGACAAAACCTGAAGCTTTCGTGACCCAAATAAATTCCCCAGACTTTGCAAAAGTAACCCCACTTTAAAATCCTCTAGATAGGTAATTTTGAAAAGCCAGCAAAATGGCTCATACAGAAAGACTTAAGGATCTGGGGTGAGGGCATTCTTTGACTTCTAGCAATAAACCTGATACCAGGATAGAGTTGAGCTCTCCCTTCTTTCCCACCCCCACCACACAGCTGTGGGTCCAGAGTTGCCCCAGTCAAGTTCTGGAAAGAGAGAACTTTCACTGAGGTGAAAGAACCACAGGAAATAGCCTCTGTCTCTAATGCCTGGCAACTGCATTTGGGAAGGTCTCTCCCTGAGCACTAGGTGAAGAAGCAGTAGGAGAAACCTCAACAACCTGAATGGGGGAGGGCTCTTGACTCTGGGCAAGAAAGAATTCTGGAACTGGTCAGACAAGTGTAGGTAAGGAAGGAATTGATTAAAGCAAGAGTAGCAGGGAATGGCAGCTGCCTGAAAGTGCAGAGGAAAAGAGGGAAAGTTCTCGGTCTAAGGCAGATTCCCTTGCCAACTCCTGAAGCCAGGGTCACCTGGCATCCTGTGTCCCCTTGGATCTGCACTGCATGTAGGCTAGCCCCTACCACTCCAGAATTTTGGGGAGCCACGGAGCACAGGATGCAGTGAGATTATGTTCTGAGAACTTCCCAAAGAGAGGAGATTTTCAGTCAGGCTACTAAGAGCAGATAGCACAGCTGCAGTCTTCTGCGGGTCACCCAGGCGACGGAAACATGCAGGTCCAAATCTGAGCTTTTAGCAGCCCCTTCCTACTTACCAGGAGCAAAACAGAGATAAAGTGAAGACTTGGAAACAAAATGAAATAACAAAGAGACAAACCGCAATAATTTGAGCAGTGAGAAAGCTTTATTTGAAAGTACACACTTAAAGAAAGGAAAGTGCTTGCATCCTCAGAGACCAGGTACACTGAAAGGTTGGGGATTCTGTCTTTTAAGGCTTTCAAGAATGGGGCAAAGGGCAGAGGGGGGTTGTTGGGCGTAGGCTTGATTTATGGTCTCAAGATGCTTATCTCTGCTGAGAGACACCATGTCTCCTCTCCTCTGTTATCAGTCCTCCAGCTAATTTTGCTAAATAAACCTAACACAAGGGATTTATTTATCCTGTTCTTCTCCAAGATAGTAGTTACCCTCAAGCAGTGGGGACATATCAGTTAAGACTGCCTGCCCTGTCTTAAGGTAAACTGTTGGGTTATTGTCTGATTACCAGATAATATGTTTGGAATCTTAGCCTTAAGATGGAGTCCCTCCTGTTCTTACCATACTGTTTATAACTCAGCATTTTCACTATAGGCAGGAAAAGTTCATCATGATGCTTGTCTCATGTCCCTGCCCCACCTCAGCTCCATGGCCCCATCTTGACATGGCCTTGAGAGAGTTGAGTTTCAACTTTGTATCAGGGTGGTTCAGGGGCATGGCCAATGCCCTTGCACTAAGCCAAGAGCGGGAGCCTGAGGATTTCCTAGGCTGTTCAGTCAGGGCACAGAAACCTTTTTGGATCAGTGGGCAGTGAGAGCTGGCACATCAAATTAGTAAGACACATGCACATACTTCATTTGGTAAATTTGCCTGACACACACTGCAGACCACTAGACCAGTGTTACAGGGGCTGTTAACAGTTGCATTATAGAAGAGTCTGAAATAAATTTTTCCCTTTATAAGAACTAAGGTGGCCAGTTAACACTGAAGATCCTTCTCAGCCTCTGCAATAACTTCCCTGTCTGTGCCCCACCACAGCAGAATCAAGTGTTTGCCTGTTCACAGCCCTGTTAGACTATAAACTCTGTGTACAGGTCACCATCTCATCTGTGTGACCTGTTACAGGCCCCATGCTGAACATGTGGGGACAAAAAAATGGCACAGTACCATGGATGCATTCCCCTCTGTGGCTGATTTTCTGCACAGCCTTGATTCCCACCTCCCTTCTCTACAAAGTAGAGTCAGATTCAGGGATTGATATCTCCTGGCCCAACCTAGAAATACAGATAAGCCATTCACAGTATCTGTTTTTTCCTTATCTGGAGCTGGTCTATGAAAGATTTGAATGTTAGAAACTATTTCCCAAATTCATTTCTTGATTCTTTTAATCATTACATAAATCTTCTGATACTGTGTGAAGGACTGAGGAAGACACTGCTAGGAAAATAAATATGTGTACAAAATGAAGGTACTTCCTTTTATGTATATGTGTGTGTGCATACAGTGTGTGTGTGCGTGTGTGTGTGTGTGTGTGCATGTACACATGCATACAGTATGATGTAGCTGGAAGAATCAGGGAGAGAAAAGCCCACCCACTCACCAAACATCACTCTAGGTCATATGTAAAAATCCTTTATTGTTGAAGAGTAGAGAGACATCATATTTTTAATGTAGGACTCTACAGAAACTCCAGGGGAACCTATAGTCAATGCCAGCTGGGATTGGGGATGCTTGCTATGCAGTTTCTACATCAGGATGGGGTAGAGGGATGGGGAAAGAGTGAAACCACAAGAGTATTAAAGGATGGGAAAGGACAGGGACATAGAAGCGCATGCACCTGGGGACTGGGAGTCTTCATGAGGCAGCCCTGGAGTCCAGGACTGGAGTGCTGAGGACCAAAAAAATGAAGTCACATCTTCTGTCCTGGACAACTCCCACTGACCACCTACTGGGGAAGCAGGGGCAGGGTGTGTAAGGAGAAGGTGGGAGAAGGGAAGTTGTAACCCTCAGCCATCCCCTTAGCCTTGGAAGTAGAGGACTGAAACTCCCTAGCTTGTGCCTTCCCACTGGCATGTTTATCATGCTTACAAATGCCTGTGTACACGGTCTGTGGGGCCCATGCAGAAAGATGTAGTGACAAAGTTCATATTCTCCTGGCACCCCCATGACCCAGACATACACACAGTCCCATCCAGTGTGCCCTGATACTAATGCCTCCTGGCCTCACCTCCTCTTTCCAGAAACTTTCAGAGGAAGAACAGGCCCAGGGGTCATTTCCCTTTTCAGCAGTTTCACATGAATAAGCTGTCACAATCATCTGTGTTGATGCACTTCATCTAATCTCCCTTAAATGCCAGCCCCCAGGGACCTATGTCCTATTCTTCCTGGCACCAAACAGGTTGAGAAGGCTCCATCAATGGTGAGATTATGAAGACTGCAATTATGGACCTGGTCCCTCTGAAAGAGCCTAGATTCACCAGCAAACATTAAAAGTAGATTTCCACAATGCACTTGTTTCCGCCATTTATATAAAATACTATGGCAAAATTGCACTGTAATTATCTTTACGGCCGATGTATAACGTTAGGGGAGAATATGTCATCCAGATATAGCTGCCCATGTAATTATCTGGCAGTCGGCAGGACTGAAATAACCATCTAATGAGAGCAAAATGATACGGTGAGTACCATGTAATCAGCGAGTTACGGTTATTATGGCTCTCCCAGCCCTCTCACCCAACACTGCATGGGGGCCAGACCCAGTCACTTAGCCCAGGGAGTCCTGCACAGGCTGTTTCCTGGAGAGCCACTGAGAGCTCCTTCTCTTTGGGGCTCCCCTGAGACCAGTGAGTGTGGGTAACAGGGACATAAGGAGAGGGGCAGGAGTCTTTTGTTGAAAACTGAGGCTTCCCAATCCCTCTCCTTTCCCCCATCACCTTCTTTCTTTGGAAGCTAGTACGAAGAAAGCCCTTGGTTGAGCTGCTGTTGCTGTGTATGGGAAGATGGTGTCAAGACTGTTTCCATGTTTTGACTAGATACTTCCCTGGGAACTCTCACATGTGCATACCAAATAAGAGCTGTCAGCCCACTCGGGCCCAGGGTCCAGCCCCACAGCTCTAGGCACACAGACCAGAGCCAGCCAGGGTAAACACTAAGACAGTGCCCACCCCTCCCAGACTACACCAAGCATGATAAAGCCAACACATGGCTCTGTGTGCTGGGCACCGCTCTAAACACTTCCCCCTGCACTCAATCCTCAAACCCAGCCCTGCAAGGTAGTATGATCACATAACCTCAGAAGTAAGCACTATAGTTACGCAATTTGGCCAAGGGGACACAGCTAGTGAGCAGCAGTTCCAGAAGGCAAAGTCAGGTCATGCTGTTATCCATTATGCTACACAGAGTGACTGAGACACAGTTTCCAGCTACTCCCCATCAGATTTCAGAGTTCCTTGCATTTCTTCTTCAATCACCCTTGCAAAGAGCTATACACTGGTCCCAGTAACCCAAGATTCTAAATGGCCTGAACAGTTGCAGCCTTCCTGGGAGGCAAAAGAAGAACAGGATGTGGTACCAGTAATTATCAGATGGTGATCTCTCCATCTTTGGCATAGGTCATGAGAGAACGGGGCCTAAACAACAGCAGTGGCCCATCAGAGAAGCCACAGGGAAACCTCTTTCTTCCCATTTTTTTCCCCATTTCACTCCTTATACATTCATCCAGGGTTCCTGATATAGGGCAAGAGATTCAAAACAGGTGTAAGTGTGTGCACATGCACATGCTCGCAGACAAGCACCCACGTGGTCAGTGTGTTTAGCTGGCAGTGTGCTGGGTGCTGATGGTGCATTGTAGGGCAAATGTATGAGCATTAGTTAATATCTGCAACATCAGAGGAGACGCTTCTCTGGCAAACCCCTGCCCCAGCCCCCTGTTCCCCGAATAACATTCCTTACCTCAGTCCACACTGGGTGGGTACTTAAGGGCACCCAAGCTGGGGATGGTCTCTTGGTTCACATCAGTAGGAGTGTCTGGGGAAAGTAAGCACTGTAATTAGGAAGGACTTTTCTGTATGTCATATGTCACCCTCACTCTGACCCAACAGCAAAGGGCTGGCTATGAAGGGCAGCACTGGGAGACAGAGTTGTGAGGATATGCTCTGTTTGGGAGACAGGAAGAAATAAGAGCCCCCTGACCTCTCCCAGCTGCAGCAGGGCCATCTGATAAAGGTCTCCCTGCTCTGCTCCAAGGGAGAACTGGACTGTGGATCTAAGCTGATTGGGTAGAAGGGGCTGAGAAAAATTCACTGTAGCTAAGAAAAGTCCTGTCTTTCCCTCTGGTGACAAATTTGAGGCACAGGACTTTGGTCATATCTTTGCCAATACCCCAAGTCCTTCCACTGTACCCCTCCACACACTCCTACCTGGCTGGGTATTCCTCTTGCCCATAAGTCCCACAAAGAAGTCATGCATGTCACCTAAAGAAGAACAGTCCACATTGTCAACAGTGATGATGAAGGGTGATTCCTTTCCCGGACAGGCACTAAGACTTCTGAGACTAGATTTCTGGTCTCTGGTTCTTTATGCTGCCACAGTTCGACGCCCCCACAGTTAGCAGGCTACACCCTAGGCCCACCTTCTGCACACACCTCCCCCTCCTCCATCTTCCCAGAATTCTCTGGGCTAGCAGGTGCCTGGCTGAGAATCTTCTCAGCCTCCTCTTGGTTCCCAGCAACCAGCCAGGGAAAGGAGAGTCTACCACGCCCTTCACACCTGCTTCCTCCAAGTTCCAGTGGCCTCTCACATTCAGGATATGCAGCTGGCATACTGTTCATGCCAGCTGAGATAGGGCCAGCCAAACTAGTCGCTGGGCCCCTTGCCCATGGAGCTCTGGGCAAGTGGTCAGCAGAGATAAAAAGAGAGAAAAGTCTACTCACGTTTCTGGAGAAGTGACAATTCCTTAGGATCTGTGAAAGCAAAAACAAACATGTGACTGGGAAACAGATTCTGGAAAGTGACAATAAGAGGAGGTTCAGATCACATCACCCAATTATTCAGTAAGCCATCTCCAGTCTCTTTCCCACCTTGAAGAGGTCTCCTGGGCCTATTTAATCTTCAGAATTCTGGCCAAACACCCCTCTCCCCAGGCTGCTTCCTACCCATGCTAGCCTTGCTCAGCGTTTTGAGCAGTCCATCCAGAGAGACTGAGTGGCTGTCATAGAGCCTCCGGAGCAACGATGGAGGCAGCTGGTACAGCTCCTGGTCCATCTAGGGGAGAAAAACAAGGAAGGCTGAGGCAGGGCCTCACCCTCAACCCATCACTCATTTCCCACACGGAACAGCCTCTTTGAGAGGCCACCACCTGAACAGAGTTCAGCTGAACGGTCCTACTTCTTTCAGGATTTCCTCTGGTTTATGCTGGAAGAGAAGTGGGATCCCAAAATGTGGTCCAAGGACCAGCAGCATCACCTCTGGGAGCTTGTTGGAAATACATAATCTTGGTCCTACCCAAGACTGACTGAGACAGAATCTGCATTTTAACCAGGTCCCCAGGTGATTCCTACACACAGCAAAGTTTGAGAAGCTCTGGTATACACATGGGCATTCCTATAGGCTAACCAACTGTCCTGGTTTGCCCAGCACTAAGGGCCTTCCCCTTAGCTTTTCTAAGGATGTGGGCCTTTCACTGCTTAAGCTGGGATGGTCCTGGAAAACTGGGACAGTTGGTCATCCTGCCTCCAAAGCTCACAGGGGACTGCCCCTTCAGTCTGTTCCCAGTCCTGCCACCTCTCTGTGAGCTCTTTTCTCCCTGGCACATAAGACCTCAGTTTGCTCAAGGATGAGGTTGCCCCACTAAGTGAAAAGGCCATGAATTCCCCCACTCCCCAAAAGGCCCACCAGGCAGAGCAAGTATCCTCTGGCCTGTCCCTGATTGAGTTGCAGACAGGACTGGGCCCTGGGGACAGGTGGGGGCACAGCCAGGACACACCGGCTGCCCTGAACCCTGCTCCCTGTCATAAAGCCGGAGATGTGTATCTCCATTTCCCACTGTCTCTCACTCTCTTTTCTTCCCCATGGGTTTCTACCTTTGGTTTTCTCTCTTTCTCCCCTTTTCCACCTGGATTTAGAATTTCAGGAAGGTGGCAAGCTGAGAAGGACACTTCTTCTCTCCTCTCACCTACAACTGATCCCCATTCTCAACTAGCTGCCAAGCAGGGGCTCTTAATTGTCTTGGTGACTTTTTTAGCAATTGGGCCACAGTGGGATGGTTGGAGGCCACACACCATGCGTCTAGGTAGTTGCAGCTGCAGGGGGACAAAGACAACCATCATGGTGGAGATTCTCACCGTGAATCTCAGCAGCACCTCTCTCATGAGCCCAGTGTCCCTGAGCTACTGAGCACACAGGGAATCGCGTTTACACAGGCTGCCCCTACTTACGTACCAAACCTGTTGCCCAGGCACACGTGGATCCTACCCTCATCCTGTCCCATGTTCCCTCACCCCCACAGACCTGCAGGAAGAAATGGCAGGATGGCTATCTCTTTCATTGACCCAAAGGGGCAAGAGTTAAAGCAAGTTTGTCTCAGAGGAATATACCCAGGTATTCTATCTCCAGCTGAAATTTTAGACTCCAAATCCAGCATCCAGCCCATATCTGGCATTCCCCATGTGTTTTTTGAACCAGTTTTGGTCTTTTGGATCTGGTGTAAGGCTGCCAGCCTGTCGTACCCTGGGGCACCCCACCAGCTGGACTGGTGTTCTCTCTCCTTGCCCAGTATCCAGCTTCCCAGACAGCCACTTTCCCAAAATTGTTCAAATACTCTGCCCACCTCCTGTATGACATGTAAACAGATTTGAGCTGGAGAGACAGACTTCACACACTGAACAGGTAATAAGTCCTAACTGTAATCATCTTAAAAGCATTTGCACCAATGTAATTGCTGTGATTTCAAAAATTGAAAAGACTTCCTTCCTGCTCTACCTTGTCCCCCCACCCAGGCAACTCTTATTTTTTTTAGAGGAACATTGGAGATCTGGAGTCCAACCTGTTTTGTGGGTTCTGTTTCCTATTCTGACAAAGCAGAGGCTAGAGGGGGGCAAGGGAGAGGAAAGAAGGGGCTGGCCCTCAGGAGCACCTGAGGTTAATGGGGGTAGATGAGCAGGGGATAAGGGAATTCATTAGAATTTTGAAAACAAAATAATACACATAATTGATAGGTAAGATAGCATACAAATGACCATTTGGGAGAGAAAGTCTGATAGTATTTCATACCATCCAGGGACTGGACAGGATCTGCCCTGTGCAAAGGGACAGAAACTGTGCTGGACCATAGAAATCTAGAGGGCACCTCAGACCACCTAGCCTGCCTTCGCGGGTACTATCCCATCACCAAGACACCAGTCACCCAACCAACCAAACACCTTTTACATGCAAAGAGCCAAAGAGGGTCAAAGGCACATACAGACTTATATGGGGACAGTGAGAACATGAGACCACCAGAGATGCTCAAAAGATAGCCCAGGAATTCCCCAGCTGCCTGCCCCTCCTTTCTCCCTACACTGTGGTAAGAGTGCTAGCTCCCATATGTTCTCCAGTACTCTGCCAGGGTGGGCGCAGCTGGAGGGGCATCTTACCTTGCTGTGGCCCCTCCTGGGTGCCACCTGCTCCTGTGGCTCCTCACAGACAGCCCCGAAACTCCAAGCCAGGCTGAGAGCCAGGATGGCTGCAAAAAGCACGGTGCTCTGCATGGTGCCTGGGAGGGCAGAGGGGTGGGATGGGAAGATGGGAAGGGGGAGGACACATGGGAGCAGATGCAGGAGACATTCACAACCAGTTCCTGGCTTCACCCTGCTTCCCCAGCCACCAGCTCTCCAGTCCAGGCCTTGGTACTTGGGGGAGAGTATCTCAGAGCAGGTACTTGGTACTCTGGGGAGAGTATCTCGGAGCAGGAGATATATCCCTTAGGCTGCTTCCCTGCTCCCCACACACACTCCCCAGGATGTGCACCTCAATGAGAAATGTGCATTAGGGCTAGGGACTCTAGGTTTCTAAGGAAGATGATATATTTTTAGGGCATTCATGGGTCTATTTCCAGTGTTGGCTTGAAGAGGGATCCTGGATGCTATTTTCCAGCACTAGGTAACCCCAAGACTTAAGCAAAAACTTTCTAGTATTGGAAGAATCAGTCTGCACAGACAGGCTCCAAACATTACTAGTTCTCAACCTCTATCTTTCTGCTCACCTTCTCAGTACCCTGCTATCTGATCAAAGGCTGCCACCTTTATACCCTCCTGTCCTTAATTTCCTCCTGACTCTGGCCCCTGTCCTTTGATGCCAGCTCCAGTCCATCCAACATTCTCCTGCTCAAGCCTACCTGTGGAGCAGCTTGAGCCCAGGAGATGGTCTAGCAAATCAGGGAACTGGCTGGAGCCCTGCCTGCTCCCTACACGCACTGGTGTAGCTGCTGCCGCCGCCGCCTGGGAAGACAAAACAGGCAATGGATGGGATCTGGAAATGTGGAAGGAACTCCAGCCCAGCTCCCTGATAAAGGCTCTGGGAGGGTCTCGGGGAGCCAGAGGAGGGGCTGAGAATCACCAATCACAGGGTGGCTGGAGGGGAGGGGGAAGCTGATGGGAAGGAGGAGGATATAGGCTGTAACCACACACACACACACACCACGCACACACCACGCACACACCATGCACACACACCACAAAACCAGCAGTGAGCTGGAGTTATCCAGCAGCCCACTTTCCAGCAGCCCCTAAGTTAAGCATGCTAAGGAATGGTGATCTATGATCCATGCCAGATCTAGCCCAATAGGATTGGTCTCTGGTCTCATTCTCCTCTTTGTTCACTCACCAGCTCCTTGCCACTTAAACCTTCAGATTCAACTGCCAGGAATGAACAATTTCAGGCAAGTGTTTTTCTGGCCATTTCCACCACCAGGACAATCAGGCTCACAATCCTCAGGTGAGTCTGGCATCCTTTCCTGCCCTCGTTTCTCCCTCCAACCTTCTCCCAGATGAGCTGACCCATTGCCTTGGTCCTTAGACCAATGTAGGGTCGGGACTTTTGTCCTGCTATTGAATGCAGAGACGACCAGTATCTGCCTTCCTCCACCATCTTTCCCCTTGGTCTCCTCACCCCACCCCTTGACTCCTGCATCAGCTTGATTTTGTTGCATCTTTCTGGAGTTCTAATTTCTATCCTCCTGCTGTAATCTTGGAAAGGAGGACCAGAACTCTACAGCTGGGCTGTTGCCCTGCCTGAGCCCACCCAAGCACTTGATCTCTTAATTGCTCCTTTTTTTCCTCACATTACATTTTTTGCCCTCCCCTTCATCTCTCTGTAGCTCAGGCATCTTCTCCCTGACTTTTCACACCTCTTGTTCATGCCAAACACTGTTGAGAGGACTTACACGGCTCAATTCACACCCAAGGTAGAGAGCCCCGGGGAGGGTGAGAGTCAGGACTAGAAATTAGAACCATCGTGAAGAGACGCTGCTGAAGGAGCCCAGGGGAGGAGCAAAGTGAAAGCCATTCTCACTTCAAAGCCTTTGTCACTCCGTGTTTACAGTGGGTACAGGGGCTGAACATTTGCAAGGTGCTGCAGAATAGCGCAATCCATCTGGTTTTCTTCACCACGACATGTTCCCACTTTTCAGATGAGGAAACAGAGACTCAGAAAGCTGTCATGTGTTTCAGGACACACAGCACAGGATAACAGCCTCAGGTGCAGGTTTTTCTCACTCCAAAACTCCCCTTCATTTTACTGCTCTGGTACGCACTTTGACCAGAAGAGGACAGTTAACTCCCAGAGGGAGTGGTGGTCCACTTCTCCAAGAGAACTAGAGATCCGGTACCTTGTAGTCTTCAACAACTTGAGGCTGGGGACAGAACCATAGTTCTGCCTATTTACTGCAAAAATGCTTGCTCATCAATGCCTTCTTCAGACACCCAATTTAAAATCCTTTCCACTCCATACTCCATGTCCCCCTCCTGTTGTTCTTCATGGATTTACTACATTCAGTTGGCTAAATATTTTGCTTACAGCGTGTCTACCCGACCCTAACCGGAATGTCATCATTACAAGGGCAAGGACTTCTGTCTGTTTTGCTTGCTATTTGGTTCCCTAGCTCTATAGTATTTGCTATGTAATAGGTGCTCAATAAACATTTATTTATAAAACAAAAAGGAAGGCTGAGCTAGGCTTCTTGCACTGCAGCCCATGGATCCTCCACAGAACCCCTTGAGTGTTGCCAGGGTCCCAAAATAGCTCCCAACATCCACCTGCCCCGGGTTTGGGGCAAACAGAGAAATCCCTCTGGCTGCACAGGGCCTCATGATGTCCACATCAAGTGAGAGCAGCAGCTGGGACTCAACACCCCTTTTACTATGTGAGAAGCTAATGGAGCCTTGGGAAAAGCTTTCCATTTCTCGGCTACTTACAGGCTGTGGGCCAACTATAGGCCAGGGCCCAGAAGTGACAGCCTTTGGCTGGGATGAGAGTAGAAGTGGGAGGCTGTTTACATATAAATGACACAATAAATTCATACTTTAGGAAGTGCAGGTGGTGTTCCTATTTGGACCTAGCCCTCTCCTCCCCTCCTCCCCACACCAATCTAGAGAAGGAAGCCAGCTGAGGCAGGCTGGAGGAATTTGGGGGTGCAGGAGTAGGAATATGTTAGACTATGGTCTGGAGACTAAAGCCTCCTAGGTCCCACCCCTGTGTCAGCCTCCCTCCCCTCACCAACCCATCCATCCCTGCCCCAGAGCCCTAGCACCAGGGAAGCAGAGCTTCAGCAAAGGTCCTCCATGAATAATGTCCTTTGATAATGCTGTATCTCACAGGGGATGGCAGGAGTCAAGGGTGGGGGAGCAAGGAAATGGCAAGAACTCATCACCCCTCCATCTGTGGGATTAGCAAAGACTTGAAAGAGCTGATGCTAAATCAGAGGTGGTGAAGGGAGGCTGTGGTGGGCTAGGGTAGGCTGGGCTTCATTTTACCTGGAAGTCATATGCAAATGACATGTAAAGTGGGTGTTGCAGTACAGAGCACATAGGTGTTTTTCCTTTAAACACTTACTCTTTATTTAAGCCACATCTCAGAGACTAACTGTTACAGGCCTAAAGGAGCAGGGTCCCTAGCAGATTCTTCCTCTGGAGCTCTCCTTTATTGCTGGGGTAGGATGGGGTGATGCCAGGAAAAGCTGCTGAGGTATAGTTGAGCTGAGCTGAGACAGGTTAGTTGGCTATTCCCAAGGGTAGAGGTGGAGCTTGTGCACATGCTTGTGCACAAGAGATGGCCTGCATGTGTCTACCTCATGCACAACATGAGTGCCACACGTGGACTCCCTCAATATCCTGGAGGCCTGCTGCTGGGTAGGGAAGGAGGGGCCAGGGTCATATATGATACTGGGTAGAAATACCAGAGAAGCATGGAAGCATGGCAGCTCCTGCCTCCTGCTAAGTCCTGCAACCAGGGGACATCTGAGAGCAACCCTAGGGCAAGGATCTAGAAGCCCCCTCAGAGCTAGGAAAGAAATAGGCTGAGCCAGGAAACTGGGCTAGAGCTGGTTTAAGCTATGAGATGCTAGAATGACTCCTCATGGGGGATAGGGAACTCCAGGATGGCGTGTGCCCCCCAGGGGCTGAAACAACCTAGACTTAGTGAATGCTGAGCTGGCTGGGAGTGGGGGCTTACCCAGGTGGGGAAACAGCACCTATCACGCTTTAGGGGATGAAAACATACCCCCTGGGCTTCAGAAGAGAAGGAAGGCAGAGATAGGAAAGAGGAGGAGGAAAGGAGATGGGAGAGTAAAGGAGAGGAACCATCACCCTTCCTCACATGACTGATGTGGGGAGGACAGGAGGGAGGCCAGAGGCCCTAGCCTTCCCTCCCTCCCACCATCCCCAGCCCACAGAGCTGACAATGCCTTCAGCCCTAGGAAAGGAAAAGAAGGATGGGGAGCAGCAGCTGCATATTCTTTTGAAATTGCTTCTGAAAATGACCAGACACTTCACTGGAAAGTGACGACAATTTGGGCCCTGGGAGCAGATGAGGCGGAGAGCGGGGGCGGTCAGCCTCTGGTCACCACCACCCTCTTGGGTGATTCTGAGAAGTCAAGGACAAGGGTGGGAGGGGGTGGGGGGAGCTGTTGGTGGGAGGCGCGGGTGGGTGGCGGAAGGCGGGCCAGAGCCTGAGCTGACCCATGCGGTTCTAGCTCCTCACCCACCAGGAAGAGCTGGTGCCTGGGTCCCAGCCCAGCCCAGAGCAGGGTGTGCCAGGACATGGGGCTTGTGCTCAGAAAGCACGATTAATCTGCAGGCAGAAAAGAAGTTAATCAGGTTTCCCCGCCAGCCTGGGGCTGTGAGCTGCCTGCCAATGGGAGGGAGGTGAACAGAGACTCCAGCCTCAAGGCAGTGAGCTCAGGAGAGGCAGGGAAGGTAGGGATCGTGAAAGGAGGGAGAGACATTCAGAGACAGAAACAAAGGCAGCCATTTGTTCTTCGCTCTCAGAGCTAAATTTTTCTGCAAATGCAGGAGCTGTTTGCTCCATAAAGGTAGAGACGGGGGTGGAAGAGGCTGAGACAAGGCAGTCTATGAGGAAATAGATATGGGTGTGTGTGTGTGTGTGTAATATTTAAAGCATTATATAAAAATATTACACATTAATATTAGTCAGGACCCACAGAAATGGGGATGAAGTGGTTTGAGATAGTTGAAAACCGAGCAAAAAATGATGATGACACAGGGAAAATAAATGAAGACAAGAGGGAAGGGGCCCGTCACAGGGATGAAACAGTCTGGGTGTGGAGTCGCTCCCTGTCAAGTGCCCCAGCTGCAGGCCCCAGCTGTGGGACAGTGATTACCAAGACAGCTGTTGACAGCAGCCTGGCATCTCGGGGGTATGGAAAGGAAGGGGTGCTGGGGGCAAGTGTGACAAAGCCCAGTGCTGAGCTTGGGGTGGCAGGGGAGCTCCTGAGTGCAGGGGACCGTGTATTTCCCCGTGCGCCTCAGCTCAATGGAGCCCTCCAGCCTTGGGCCTCTTTTCAGGCTAAATTGCCAAAGGATCGCAGTTTCTACCAAGACCCGGATCCTCACTTCTCCCCACCAGGGACACACTTAATGAATCCAGCCACTGGCCACCTGAGACCTGAGCCCTACCCAGCCACCCAGCCCCCACTCCCTCTCTCCAAACCCGCCAGAGCTCAGCAGGCTCCTCCAGAGACAGTTTCCCTTATTATCTGCATGAGCTGCCTGGGGATGAGGGCATCAACCTACAATGACCAAACCTTTGGGAAGTTACTTGTTTTATTAGTGGGCACAGAGGCTGAGGGTGGGAGAAGGCTAAGCTTGGAGAGAGGACTGGAAAAGTTGGGGAGAAAAAAGGTCCTCTTCAAGGGTTCTTCAATTTTCTGAGCATCAACCAGTTGGAGGTTAGACACGACATCCTCCCACAAAGGTCGGGGGTGGAGGTGCTAGTCCAGGGGGAAGAAACTGTTGACTCTGCATCAGGCCGCCACCTCTTCTCTATACAGTCACTTCCAAGCAATGACTCCCCTTCTTCTTGCAGCTTAACTTGCCATTCGCACCACCCCCAGGGCCCTCGATGACCTTGACATCCACACTGCCCTCCTTGAACCTCACTGAGAACCTAGAGGGGAACAGAGAGGCAAGGCTGGCACCCACACTAGCTCACCCCTACTCCCCATAGGCTACCCCAATTTGAGGCTAGGACATCCCCCACCCACTCCGTGGTAGAAGACTCAAGGCCCCAGGGAGTTGGCTGGGGAGACTAAGGAACACCTCCAAGCCCTGCTTTACTTCCTGCCTGCATGAACTTCCCTGGTCACTGGCCCAGCCATCCCTCACCCCCAGCTCACTGCCTTACCTCTCAGTCACAGTGACTGGAAGCTGCCTCCGTGTGGCATCTAGCACAGCCCGGTACATTCTGGTCAGCAGTTCCACCAGATGCTCGCTGGCTAGCAGGAAGTCTCCCTTGGAGCCCACTGATGACACCTAGGAGGGAAAATAGCAGGGAGGAATTCAGTTTTCTCCTCAGGAACAGCCTGAGACACATCAAAGGCCCAGAGTGAGAGTTCTGGTCCCCATCACCTCCAGCCTACCAGAGCCCCATAATGCCCACCACCTTCTCCAGTCTGAGGCTCTGCCCATACCCAGCTCTGGTACCTCACTCAGATGTAAGCTAAAAAGCCCATCCTTGAAGCTGGTGACTGACACCCCAGCCACACTGTCTAGTCCAATGACAGTTTTGGCCTGGGACTTCCTGGTATCTGCAAGAATCACGTGCCCCTTGGTCAGGAGGAGAATTCGAGAGGAAGTCTGGGGACAGAACAAAGACGGTGAGGAAAGGCAGGCTTAACCCCTACCCTTCCCGCTGTAGGCCCCACAGCTCCGGGTTGGACTGTGGGGAGGCCAGGGTGCAGGCTTCCACCTTGCCATTGCTGCGGTTGACTTTCTTCACAGTCTCTGCCACCAGAATAGGCCCTTCCTCCCCGCCCTTCAGCTTCTGCAGCTTGGGGTTCCCTTGCAGCCCAATGTAGTCACCGTTGAATGGCATGGGGACACTGAGGACACAGGAGATATGCAGTGGAGACAAGGTCCTTAGCACTGACCTCCAGGTCCCTGTACTTCTCCCCACTGAGTTCCCATCCTTGTCCTCCCAAGTCCCTTCCCCCATCCTCCAGCACATCCTCTATCTCAGTGCTTCTCAGAGCATGGTCCAGGACAACATCAGCACCCCCCAGGGACCTGCTAGGAAGGCAAATTCATGGGCCCCTGAATCAGAAGCTCAGAGGGCAAGGTGTAGTAGTCGGGATGATTCTGACACACACTGAAGTCTGGAAACCACTGCTCTATCCCACTTGGGCATCTTCTCTGCTCTTAATAAACTCACTGTGCAGGGCTTATGAGGCTCTTACCTTTGAGGGTATGAAGCCTTCTTGCCCTTGAACAGTTCGCTGGCACAGAGCTTCTCCCTCAGGATCTCTACCTGCTTCGGGGATAGCTGATCCCGGAATTTCTTGCACTGTGACGGGGAAGGCAGGAGCCAAGATCATGGAGGAGAAGGGTAGGACTGGGGAGGGAAATGGGCAGAACACAGAGAGGTAGAGAGGGGAAGGGCCTGGAAAGAAGAGAGAAGAGGGGAGAGGACAGGCCCTGGACACTTCAGAGAGGCAAGGGCTAAGGCGCGCTGGGGGAGGGGGATGGAAACAATCAACTTCGAGCCCCATGAGGGCTGTACACCCAGCACACAGCACAAGGCCTAGTTCCAGACTAGTGCTCAATAAGCACTTCCTGAAGAAAGAATACTGCTCAGTGCAATAGGCCAGACCCAAAAGGACAAGCACTGTATGATTCCACCCACATGAGGTACCTACAATAGTCAGATACAGACACAGAAAGATTATAGGTTCCAGGGGCTGGGGGAAGAGAGTTATTGCTTAATGTGCACAGAGTTTCGGTTTGGGATGATGAAAAAATACAGATGGATGGTGGTGATGGTTGTACAACAACATGTATGTGCTTAATGCCACTGAACTGTACACTTAAAAATGGTTAAAATGGTAACATTTCTAATACCACAATATAAAAAAAAATGAAAAAAGGTGGAAGAGTGAGACAGAAGAGGGAAATCAGAGGGAAGTGGGTGGGGGAAGGCAAGTGAGAGGAGAAGGTGCCTGGAGAGGTACCCACCTTCCAGCGGTAGAAGAGCCGCTTTAGCTCCTCATTAGCTGTGTTGAAACACTTGTAACGGGCAGCTGGCCACTTCTTGTCCAAGATATTGGTAGATGGCAAATTATTCTTCAGCCCCAGTAGGAATTTCTGTACCTGGGTTGGGAGCAGGGGGATGAGGGGTGGAATGATGAGAAGAAAGACCTTCTAACAGGCAAACTCGTACCCAGATTGCACTTGAAAGGAGGAAGCCACACATAGGGAGAACCAACCAGCGGAACGGAGGAGATGAAAGGGAGCCTCCACCTGGATCTCTTCACATGCAGTACAGGCTGGGGATAAATGGGAGACTGAAGGGGGGAAAGGTGGTTCCAAGCAGAGACCTGCTGCTGCCCAAGGTGGTGAGGTGTAAAGACCCAAGATGGAAACTGGCCTCAATACTGTGCTCCTGGAGTTTCCTATTTTTCCAGCTCACACTTGCCTACAGCTGGCTGCCACTGATTGTTAGCTACAGGACAGGTACCACATCGCTCAGCCTCTCTGACCAGTCAAGCCCAACACTCCAACCTGGCATTCAAACTTCTCTTCTTAGAGCCCAACTTCATGTCACAGGATTCCCTGCATTACCCTGGCACCCAACTAGATATGACTTCCTGTCATGCCCTTTGCCCAGCCCAGGCATTACCACTCTGTGCTTTAGTTTGTGTTGCTCTCAGCTGAACTCTGCCAACCCAGTCCCATCCATTGTTTGGAATGCAGCTCCCCGATTCCTGGATCAGATGCCTCTCCTTTCTATGAAGCCTCACAGCACGTTGTCTCTACTTCTATTTTTGTACTCCTATTATTTGCAGGAAAATCTCCCTCTTCTAGACAGTGAGTCCTTGGGAATCAAGATCCCAGGTTTCAAGTTTCTTCACCCTCAACATTTTTTGAGTGTCTGCACTGTGCTGGCACTGTTCTGGGTAGGGAGACAGAGAGAGTGAGTGGCAGCATATTCCAGAAACAGAAAGTAAACCAGTGTGACTGGGTGAAATTGAGAGGTGGTTGGTTGGTCAAGGACAGATCATGAAGGGGCCTGGTAGGCTGTAGTAAGGACATAGGCTTTTATTCAGAGTAAAACAGAACACCATTAGAGAGTTTTAAGGGGAGAGTGACATAATTTGACTACATTAAAAATTTTTAATACAATTTATTTTATTTTGAAAGTTCTAAAACTTGCATAAAAGTTGAAAACATTACAATGAACATCTGTGTAATGCATATCCCTCACCTAAATTCAACAGCTGATGATGTTAACATCTTGCCCTGAGGGCTTGCTCACCCTCACTCTCCCTAACACATTCACACATACACACAAATGCATGTAAATATATAAATACACACATATATGTACATATATGCAAATCTTTGCTGCCATATCATCCTAAAGTAGTTACAGATATTATGACTTTCCCCCCTAAACCTTAAGCATGCACCTCCCAAGAGCTAGGACATTCTCCTACACTATTATAATTCCACCACCACCAAATGTGAGAAAATAAACATTAACTAGATCATTCATCCAATAGCAATACCTACTCAAATTTCTCTTAATGTCCTTTATAAACTTATAAAAATGCCCTTTTTAACTTTTTTATTTTTCCTGTTCCAGGATCCAATTAAGTCTCACCTGTGGCATTTGACTAGTTAGTCTCTCCCAGTCTAGCAGAAGGACTCTTAAGTCCTTGTACCCCAGGGAGCACCTCGCCCCCTGTTTATGGGATAGAACTGTTGAAGGTATAGACAATGACTTGATCTTGAGCACTTCCAGATTTGGGGGATTTTTATGAAAACCTTTTTCTAAGACATTAGTGTAAAAAAAATAAAACAGAAAAAAGGCACAGCACACAATGTATTGCTGTAACTCTCTAGGAACTATCCAGGCTCTCTGTATCTTCCACTGCAGAGATCTAGAAGGCTTGGTCTAATCACCTTAGACCTTGATCTTCGTTCCCAGTCCTTGGTCTGGTTTAATTCAATTCAATAAATATTCCTAAGCATCTCTCATAATCCCCCATTCTAACTGCTGTGAAGTCTCTAAGGGTTTTCTTTTTGTTGTTTGCTTTCTCTAGATCTAGAAAGTTCTGACTTTTGTCTTCTGTAGTGGGAAAACCAGACAGTTATATGGAAAAGAATGAAACTGGATCACTGTGTTATACCACACACTAAAATGAAATCAAAATGGATTAAAGACCTAAACATAAGGCCTGAAACCATAAAATAACTAGAAGAAACACTTGAACATCAACATTAGTTATTATTTTCTGGGGATATATCTCCCTGGGCAAAGTAAACAAAAGCAAATATCAACATGTGTAACTGTATCAAACTAAAAAGCTTCTGCACAGCAAAGGAAACCATCAACACAACAAAAAGGCAACCTACTGAATGGGAGAATATATTTGCAAATGATATATTGGATAAGGGGCTAATATCCAAAATATATAAAGGACTTATCCATCTCAACACCAAGAAAACAAATAATCCCATTAAAAAATGGGCAGAGGATCTAAACAGACATTTTTCCAAAGATGCCATACAGATAGCCAACAGACACATGAAAAGATGCTCAACATCACTAATCATCAGGGAAATGCAAATCAAACAACAATGCGATGTCACACCTCACACCAGAGTGGCTAATCAATGAGATAAGAAATAAAGTGTTGGCGGGGCTGTGGAGAAAATGGAACCCTCCTACCCTGCTGGTGGGATCATAAATTGGTACAACCACTATGGAAAGCAGTATGGAGGGTCCTCAAAAAACTAAAACAGAACTACCATACAGCCAGTAACCCCACCTTTGGGAATTTACCTGAAGAAAACAAAATTCCTGATTCGAAAAGATATATCCACCCTTAACACTTATTGCCACATTATTTACAATAGCCAAAATATGGAAGCAACCAAAGTCCATTGATAAATGAATGGATAAAGAAAATGTGGTACATATACACAATGGAATATTATTCAGCCATAAGAAAGAAAGAAATCCTGCCATTTGTGACAACATGGATGGACCTAGAGGATATTATATTATGTGAAATTAGTCAGGCAGAGAAAGAAATATCCATAGGATTTCACTTAAATGTGGAATCTAAAAAACCAAACAAACAAAACTGAAATAGACTCATAAACACAGACAACACAGAGACTCATAAACTCATAAACACATGGTGGTTACCATGGGGGTAAGGGGTGGTAATGGGTATAATATATGACAGTTAATCTGATGGTTACATGGAGAAAGGGAAGAGAAGGCAGGGGAAATTTCTGCCTTTCCTCTGAGCCCTCCTGCCTCCAGGTCTATCCAGGGCCATGGATGCCTGGGCTATCCAGGCTGCTAATGGGGGAAGCAGTCTAGGCTGGTTAAAACTCTGGAGTCAAGTAGTATGTATCCCAGCTCCACCACTTAACACCTGTGGGACCCTTAGCAAGTTATTCAACCTCTTTGGGCTTTAGTTACCTAAGAAAAACTAAAGGAAAGAAAAGGAACTACCTCACAGGGTTGTTGAAAGCATTAGAGTTAATCCATGTAAAGGGCTTAGCACATAATAAATGTTCAAAAAATAGTAAGTATTAGCATCAGTTACAGGCAAGGCAATGGCCAAATCTAGATTAGTCAGAAACACTGAGGGAATCAATGCCCAGTGACCCCCTGCAAGCATGCTTCTGTAGAAGGTGTGATTTATTGGAATACTGGTCTAAACCCAACAGCTCCTGGGGTGACATTCAGCAGACACCTGGTGATATACAAGTGAAAGATAAAGTAGAAGAGGGTCAGGAGATAAGAGCAAGATTAGATTACAGGTCTCAGGTATACAGCAAGAGAGCACGTACTCTGGGAGGGCAGACACCCTGGAGCCGGCAAGAGGAGAGACCAGGTGGTGGAAGAGACCCAGGAAGATGAAGCCCACTATCCCAGGAAGATACAATGAAGGTTCAGGGAGGCAATGAAGAAGCTCAGAGCCCCTATTCCTCAACTTGGCTCAGGGCTCCAGTCTCTCTGATGATGCAGAGGAGCTCCAATCATGTTTGATGAGCACAGTAAGAGCAAGCACAGATGTCTAGCAACTCAGACATCAGGTCAGCAGAGGTCAGTGCTAATTTACCCCAGCCCTCTGCCCAGGTCTCCTGTTACCCCTCCTCCTCTCTGGCCCTCCCCAAGCTGTCACTGGAAGTACTGCTGTGGCCCTGTCTCATTTCCTTCCAACACCTGGAAGCACCATCGATATAGGTTGGATGTCCCTGGAAATCACCTCCTCTATCCCAGTTTTCTTTTCATTGGAAACTGCCCATAGTTTGAATGTGCAGACCTGGTTCTGGCTTCTTCCTGCCCACCCTGGCCTGAGTCCTCCAGAATTAAGATCCTTCCTGAGATTAATTTTGGACTCACCTGCTATAGTTTCAGAAGAGACAGAAGATGGAAACGATTCCTCCACCTTTACCCCAACCCTACAATGGGCCTTGGAAGGCCAGTTGAACTAACCCTGATTGCCTCCATCTGCTCTTCAGGGAGGCTCACCTCTCCATCTACTGTTAACCATCCACCCCAGTCTCTTTCTTGGGCCCGGGCACCATGGACCAGTTGGTGGGTGTGCTGGGACCCCCTCCTGCCACAAGGTTGCTGACAGTGTCCACCCAAACCAAAATGCACTTTGACGCTGCCCCTGGGCCATGAGGCACTGGCTAGAACCTGCTCCCTGCAGACTGCTGCCCACTCTCCTCTCCAGGGACTGAATTTTAAGTACATGTAGATGGAGGAAGCTCTTGGGGAAAAACTTTGAGTCCTCTCCTCTTCAGCCCTTCATTTTCCTCTTTGAAACCTGTCCCTCCTTAACTCCACTCTTCCACCCTCAACTCCCACCACTTACCATGCTCTTGTAGATGAAATCTGCCAAGGTGAGGGCAGCCCCTGACCGGAAGTATTTTCGATAATCCTTGCGAACCTGGCAGGGACATACAAGAAAGGCTCCAAAGTAAAGATAAGACACCTAGACTTAGACTTTTATTTTTCAGCCACACAAAGAACAGAGTAAGATAAGGAGCTGAGACTGCAGCTGGAGGAAAGGACAACACTCTAGGCAGAGAGCAGAGCTCCACTGCCAAGTAAGAGACACACCCAGGCATGTACACAGATCTCCCCAACATGAGTCCTCACTCCTAGACACACACAGAGCAAACCCAGAAACACCCCAGACACAGAGGTATGTCCAGGGTGCGGCCAGGCCTTGCTCTCTGCTACTCTTTCCTCCCAGCAGTTGGCACAATCTAGGAGGACCCATGTGGTTGAAGGAACCATGTATGGGGAGGAAACCCCCCTCCCTTGCCCATTACCTTCCACCCTCTCACAAAAGCCTGGATCAACAATGCTGATGCCTTTAGCTTCTCATAGCGTTTCTTTTGCTGTAGAATAATGGTCATGTTAGAAAAACTCCATCTCCTGAACCACCTCTCCCACTTCCCACCCTCCTATCACAGTGAGGTAGATGGGATTTGGGGGGTAACTGGTACCATAGTGCCCCGAAACCAAGAGGAAATGAGGATCTGACTCTTGCGCATCAGCTGGTAGTGGGTGTGGCAGCGCCAGCCCCGGTATATCTTCTGTATGAGTGTGGCCAGCTGGTGAAGTCGGAAGCGCCTCTGCTCCTCCAGGAAGAAAAGCTGTGGAGAGGTGGACAGATGGAACAGAGAGGCTGGCCTCGGGAAAGAGCATGCTCTCCTCCTGCGTTCCATGGCCCCACAGGCTTCTCAGCCAGCAGTTGCTCCATCATTCCTTTGTCTTCCCAGTTCATTCATTCATTCATTCATTCATTCATTCACCCAACAAGCATCAACTCCAAGCACACAGTCCTCTGCTAGGACTTGGCTGCTTAGGCAGAGGAATCAGAGTGGGCCATGCAAGCATACCTAACTCCCAGGACTCAGGGCTGGCTGGAGACCCAAGTGTTCAGTTCCCAGGGATAAAGTCCCACAAAGAGAGAACTTCCTCATCCACTCCGCTTTCCAGCTAGAGGTTCCCCTCCCCTGCAGCCTCTCCCTTAGGTGGGCTCTCCGACACTTGAATCTTCCATCCCCACCAAGCACAAATGCACACTCCAACTCACCGTCTTGGGACTTCTAATGAAGATCTTTGTTCTTCCAAAGGCCACCTCCTCTGAAGACACACTCAGGGCCCCCATGACCTTCTCCACCCCTTCCCTACAAGAGCAGATAGGGAAAGCCCACTATCCCAGAACAGTGCCGTCTTCCACTTTTCCCCTAACCCCTCTCACTCTGGGAGAAGAGTTTAGGGATTGAGCAGATTTCATTCCATTCATTTCCCTAATCATCCATCCCCGAGCTCCAGTGATAGGCATGCCACCACTGGGCTCTTCCCCTACAAACATCCCTTGCATTGACTGCTCTTCCCTGCTTCCCGGTCTCCCCACCAAGTCTTACCTGTCTCCCCCATTCCACCGAGGCCAAGTGCTCTGGCTCAGCATTCGATACCTTTCCAGGAAGGGCCCGTACCCCTGGCGGTAAGCATAGCCTGCCCGTCGCACCCGCACATTCTCTAGCAGCCCCAGGTACCAAGCCTGGATGGCCACCAGCTCCGAGGAGAACTGGCCTCGCTGCTGCTGGTCGTTGGGCTTTATACACCTGGTGGGGGATGGGCCAGGCACAGGCCTCAGAGCTGTACCTTGCTGCTGTAACCCATCCTGGTCTCCACTCCCATGTTGTGCCCATTTCCCTTAGTTGACAATTTTCAGAGGAAGTGGACACACTGGCCGTCCCAGTCTCTCACTATAGCTGGATCCCCACCAAAGTCTTATGCCCTCCCCACCACATGACTCTCAGCTCCTCATCTGGCTCTGTTTTCCATGAAGAAAGGACCTCCAATACCCTGTTTCCAAAGAGCTCTCCCAACATGGGATGTTCTACAGTGTATGGACCCTGCACATGCCATTATGCATGTAACATGTTCCTCTGTGTGCCCAGCATGTCACCTGATGTAATTCGGGTTTTTGGAATACAGGTTCTTCATGAGTATGGCCACAGAACTCTTGAACTGGGTCCCAGCAGTTGGGGGGCGTTTGAGAGATGCCTGCTTGGGATCTCCCTCAGGGAACAAGGACTTAAGAAGGTGGTGCTGGGCCTTCCACATAGCCTGGGACAAATCCCGGAAGAGTAAGTCATTATTCTTGTCAATGAAGCCATTCACACTGTATGTCACCTGTGGAGGAATGGCTATTGGTGAGGAGACCTCATCCCAGCACTTGGCCCTCCCAGTCTCTCTGTGAAGTGTGCCCAGTTCTCAGCTTCCCCCACTTCCTCCCCATTGCTATCATACTGTGCCAGGCCCTAGTCTCTCCCCTCCAGCCCTGCTAGATCACCTTGCCCGCATAGTGGCTGATGCGGAAGCAGCCAAGGCCCATGGTGTGGTCATACTGGCGCTGGGCGTTCTGGGTGACTTTACTCTCATAGTGACCATGCTTAGAGAAGAGCTGGTTCAGCTTCGAGAGGAAGGTAGAGTCACTGATCACCCCAGGCCGCAGGCACTCCTCGTCAAGCATGGCCAGGATTCCTTGCTGGTTCTGGTCAGAACAAGATCAGTCCAACTTAGACCTCATCCCTCCAAGATGTGCCCATCTCCACTGCTGTCCCTCTGCCCCTTCATCCTTTGCCTTCTTTACCATCCTTACCAAGCAGGCAGCAGGGACAGGGAAGGGAGACAGGGTAAGGTTGTGCAGGCAGTCTGGAAGGGGAGGTCCCAAGGATAAGGGAAGGCTAACTCACATGCTCAATGAGGTTACAGATAATCCCATTATCGAAGTACTCCACCTTTGTCCACGGTATGCCCTGGCAAGGGGAGATGCGAAAAATTACAGGGAGCAGGGCCAGAAGTCCCCAAAGACCTCATTAGACCCAGGCCCCCTTTCACCCACCCAACAAAGGACCATGAGGAAGCCCTATAGTTCAGAGGGGTCCTTGGTGCGGTTTCTGTTTACATCCCCATACTTCTAAGGTAGACGGGGAATTTGTGGGGTGGACAGGAGGATCCAGAGCAAAAGGGTACAACAATGCAGAGAGCCCTCTGGATTCTGTGGAGTGGAGAGGGAAGGGGAATATGTTAGGTGAAGACTGGGGTAGGAATTACCCCACTGTGGGAGTGGGAAGGATCCTTGAGCATGTAGAAGAGCCAATGGTTGCACTGCTCTGGCAACAAACTATAAAACCAAAGCACATGAGTGAGTTTACTGTCAAACAACAAAGTTAATTTGACATCTTCAAAGACCTGCATCAGTGGTTCTCAAACTTGGGTGTGCACTCACAACTGCCTGAAGGGCTTACAAAAGGCACAGATTGCTGGGCCCCACCCCAGCAGGTCCACGCAGGCCCAGGAATTTGCCTTTCTCACAGGTTCCCAGCAGCTGCTCCTGGACCTGTGCTTTAAGAGCCACTGTTCTACATCATCCTTTGGGACTGTATAATCTTTTAAAAGAGAAAGAATGGTCCAGAAAAGCAGGAGACCCAAGGACAGCCGTTCTCTATGGCTTTGCTGGGCATCAGGCCTGCAGGCAGGATGGTTCCTGATCCCAGCTAAGGGTCAGACCTCCTAGGCTCAGGCCACACCCAAGAGTGGCTGAGCAACACAGGCCTTTCTCTCCCTCTTCCCTCACAGATCTTTAGGGAATGCAGAGTGGAATTAAGTAAAATTGTCCTCCCACTTCATCCCAAAAATACCTTTCCTAGCTGGTTCAATGAATTATGATATTCTTAGAAGCCTATGTAGCTGTAGAAAAGCATCTTTACATACTGATAGAGAAAGATATGGTTAGCTGATGAAAGCAACGTATAGAACACCATGTATTCACTACCCCTTGGTTAAACATTGTGGAAAAACATATTCACAAATTTGCTTGATGACACATAGAAGAATTCTGGAAGGGGGACCACTTCCGTTGCCTCTAGGTGGGGAGGATGGGCACATGGAGGAAGAGAGACTTTTCTTAATACATCTCTTTTAAGTTTTTTGAATTGTGAAGCACGGGAATGTATCATCTGTTTGATCATTTAAATTTTTAAAATAAAAATATACAAAACAGCTAAAAAGAATTTTGACATGCATTGTGACCACACTGCCTGAAATTCTGACAAAGCAGATTCCTGGGAGCACACAGGGACCATGTCTGGGAGGGTTCTGATGAGTGAGGCTTACAGCCATTCACACTTTGGAGTGGATGAGCTCTATCAGAGAGCTTTTCTAACACCTAGCCGTTGGAAACAGGGGGTTTTGCTGACCAGAAGAAGGAGTGTGGAAATTCTGAGCCATGGGGCACGCTGGTAAGGAAGTCTAGGATCGGGGTGTTATAAGAGGGAACAGTGACATCAGCCAGAGCCTGGAGGAGACAAAGAATTCTGAGACATTAGAGAAGGGCACACAAAGGAATGCGGTAGGGTGCCAAGCCCTGGAGAAATGCCCCTTTCTCAATGTGGCTCTCAGTCTGCCTAGGCCAGTCACAGCTGTCCATTCACTGTCAGGACTTTCCCCATCCCCACAGCCTTCCATTAATCTGCCCCTTTCTTGCCTGGCCTTGAGTGGGAGAATGGGGAAACTGGAGGGCAAAAAGCAGAAAATTAGGGTTTCTTGGTAATGCCGGAATGTTCCACTATGCAAGGGAAACTTACTGTCCTTTGTGTCCCATCCGGGGACAACTGACAGGAAATTGTAATCAAGGAGAAAGATCTGGCAAGTGCCTAGAAGTCAGAGGGGAAGTAGGAAGAAGGCTGAGTATACCTCTCTCCTATATTCCTCTTGCTCCTCTTTCAGCGTTAACTCTATGAACACCTGCTGTAGCTTCTCATTGCAGTAGTTGATCACAAATTGCTCAAAGCTATTATCCTGAGGGAGAACACACGGGTGAAAAAGACCAGCTCAGCCCAAAACCCTTCCTTCCTCTTAGCCTGACCTTCCCCTCGCAAATCCCAGTTTGAGCCTATCTGCCCCAACTCTGGGAAAGCCCTCACCGAGGTTGGGTGGAGCTCTCACCTCTAATACTTCAAAGCCGTAGATATCCAGGACCCCCATTACCTTCTTCTTCTCCCCAGTGCCCACCTGAAGAGAAGGAGAAGACAATCTGAGGACAGGCCCCCTCTGCATATCAGGCCAGGCACTTGGTGGGTAGACGAGACTGGAGCAGGGGGCAAACAGAACTCGGGTGGGCCTGACCACCCTGGGAAGGGACTGTGATTTTACTTTCCTTCCTCCTCTATACCCTGAAGGACAAGCAAAGTGGGAGGAGAGGAGGAAAAGGAAGATGCAAACAGATTCCAGAATGGTGTTCCCATGCTATGAGACAGAAAGATATTAAAATCCTCTCAGGAAAATACTTCTCTCATATTCATAGAACATTTTGCAAAAAGTTCTGTTATTTCACTAATCCTTATCATAAGCCTAGAAAGTATGTTGTTCCCAAGTTACGGAAAAAAATTAAATTTCAAAAGGGCTATTTACCCAAACCTACATTCAAATCCCATTTTCCTCTGCTGCCTTCCAGTAATTGGCTTCTAGGTTGACAGCATTCATGTACATAATTTTTAAATAATAGTTCTATTTTAATCTAATTCACATACCATAAAATTTACCTTTTGAAGGTGTGCAGTTCAGTAGTTCTTTAGTATATTTATAAAGTGCACAACCATCACCACTACCTAATTCCAGAGTACTTTCATCAGCCCAGAGAGAAATCTTGTACCTGCATGCATTAGCAGTCACTCCCCAGTCCCCTCTCTTCGCAGCCCATGGGAAGCACTGACTTACTTCCCATTTCTATGAATTTGCCTATTCTGGCCATTTTGTATAAATGGAATCATATGAAATGTTGCCTTTTGTGTCTGGCTTCTTTCACTCAACATTTTTTCAAGGTTCATCCATGTTGATAAGCACTTCATTCCTTCTTACAGTTAAAAAATATCCCATTTGTGGATATACCACATTTTGTTTACCCATTTGTCAAACCAAGTGATGGACACTTGGGTTGCTTCCACTTTCGGGCTACTACAAATAATGCCCCTATGAACAATTGTGTACAGGGTTCTACATGGATCTGTTTCCAGTTCTCTTGGATATATACCAAGGAGTGGAACTGCCGGGTTATATGGTAACCATGTACATGACTTCATCCGATCCTCACTAAGCCTAGTGAAGCAGGTAGGTAGGCATTAGTGTCCAATTTTCCAAACCAGGAAACTGAGGCTTGGGATCTTTGTGAAATGCAAAGCCACATGGCAGGTAAATAGGGGATACAGACAGTAGAATTAAAAAACTGGAGGTGTTTCCACAGAAACACACTATTGAGAGGAATTGTGCCCTAGCCCTCGTCCTCCTCACTCTGTCCATCTCAGAACCCAAGCCGTGGGGCTGAGGCAGGCAGGTGAGCCTTAAGAAAGGACGGTACTCTCTCACCTCGATACTCTGGTTTATGCGATTCACTATCCAGTGGAAGAGGCGGCTGTAGATGTTCTTAGCCAGGCCATCCCGAGCATAGCGAGCCTGCAGCACAGAGCCAGCTGGTTAGTGTGGCAGCCCCCGCCCAGGCTCCAAGTCAGCCCCTCCCAGGATCCTCACCTGGATGACATTCAATGCAGTGACCACCTTTTCTTTGGCCATTTCCATCGTTCTTGAGCACAAAGCTCTCTCTAGTTCTTCTGCATTCAAACCCACCAGTTCCCCGATTTCCTGAAGGCCTTGAGTGAAGAGGAAACATCATGGCCTGAGAGGGGCTTTCTCCCAGGGGAGCAAGGCAGGGCCTGTAAGTGAACCAGCTGGAAGACAGCTGTCCCTGCACCTTGCTGGGACATCCTTACAGCTGATCCAGAACATGTTTCCAGAGGAATCTCTGGGGAGAAGGAGGAAAGAAGGGAGATCTGGGCACAAGGCATGCATGATCTACTTTAAAATGGGAATCTCCTGAAACAGGTGTAATAATTATCCCCATTTTGCAAAGAATCCCCTGAGACTCAGAGAGGTCTGAGACCTGAGTCTGTCAAACTTCAAAACCGTCATTCCAGTTTGCCTCACTGGGAGCTCTCAATGAGCATGTTTGGGGAAGACCTCAGGAGGAGGCTGTGTGGGACAGAATCAGAGTGAAGTCAATTATAGTGGAGATGGTAGAGGAACAGGAGTTGCAGTGGGGGACTCAGGGAGCTGGCTGGGGCACCAGCAGGGTGGTGCAGACCTCGTCCATCATGGATGCCACTAGCTGCTATCCCACTGGCCTGGGACTCATCCACCAGTTCCACATTCCCCAGCTTCAGCACCAAAGCCGTCACCTCTAGCACCTGTCGGATCTCCTCCTCCGAGAACCCAATCACAGTCATGGCACTCTTAGGGAGAAAGCAGAGACCAGGAACTGAACTGTAGTGCCAGTCCAATTCCTCCCTTCTCAAACCCAGAGCTTGGGTTCAGGGGAAGACCTAAGAGCTACCCTGGGTACCCACCTCTACAGCCTTGAAATTGGAGGCGTCATCCATGCCAACCACTCTGGATACTTCCCGATTCAGATAGGTGTAACCACTTGTATCCTGCTCGAGCTTCAGGGCCTCTAGGCGGGTCAGAGAGGGAGAAGAGGGTTAATGTATGAGCCGTCTGGAGCCCTCCAGACTGGGCCCTCACAGCGCTTGCCCTAGGTTGATTCATTCATTTACTTGAAGCAGCTATATTTGTTTCAGGTTCTTCCCCTGCCTCCTCTCATTTAGGATCATTAATCCTATGATAATAGACTAAAGTGGTATTTAGGGTTTGGCTGTTCATAATTGTAGGGTTGTTTTCCAACCTTTATGGAAGAAAAGCCTCATTCTACTCTTCTCCCCACCATCAGGGTTCTAAACGATAAAAACAAACATGCAAAGCCTCCACCTGCTCACTTCCCATGGCTCTGGGAGGATTAAGGTGAAAAAAGGGTGAGCACATATACCCACCCACCCTGCACCTCCATACCTCACCCTTGGCTTGGGTTAGCCCACTCATTTGTTCACTAAGCACCAACAAAGTGCCAGGTACTATGTTCCCCAACTCTGACCCTAATCCTGGAAGGCTTTCTCCACACGCCATTATGGAGCTCAGCCAAATGGCTCTCGTGTTCCCCCATCCTAAATCTCTATCCTAGACCATAATATGTGGGCTAGGTTTTGTTTCTTCTGACTCTCCCACAAATGAACCACTTGTGTGTTGGGACTGTTTTTCATTTTCATATCTGTGTGCCTTGCTGGCATGAAGAGACTTTTTTCCTTTTTAAAAATGAATCAAGGGAATGGTCAAAACTGTTCACCTTAGATGAGAAGGAGTGGGTTAGCCAGAGCTTGAGGGATAGCAACCATATACTATTCAAATTACTTGACAATCAGGAGTGGCTCTCAAACGAGAGTTTAGTGGCACCTTCCCCTGAGACACACATTTTGAAATAAGAGCCTGCTAAAGAGGGGTGTCTGGACAGATAATGAGTCAGAAAGGCCCAGGGAGGCCCTGCCCAGACTCAGCTTAAACCAATGGGTGACAGAATCAGCTAAAACAGGATACTAGTGCCTATGACTCAGACAAAGTGAACATCACCAAGACCCCTCAGCTGGGAGGAGGGATGAGGCCTGCAGGGGGAAGGAGATGGCCACAATTCCAGCACAGAATAACCAAAGGCACATGTCCTTGGGGAACAGATACCACAGTGCTCACAGCTATAGTGGGTGTTGATAGGCAAACTCCAGCAGGGCCTGAAGTCCTACCAGACCCTGCAACCTAAGGCCTGTCCGGCACCCAGTGCCTCCCAGGACAAGGTAGAGAGTGCTCCATGCCTTCTGCTCCTAGAGCCACCCGCATGGGCCCATTGGCATTGATCACACTGTATTGTAGTGTTTCTGTTCACGTATCTGCCATTCCTGGAAGACTAAGTTCTTCAAGGACAAGGTCCATGTCGTACTTAGCCCATGGAGCTAGCACAATGTTCAATCAGAGTAGGTGTTCAAGAGATGTTTGATGAATGAATAAATGGAACCTCCATGGAACTAAGAAGAGGAAGTCAAGGACAGGACCCTGGGCAGATTAAGACCCAGGACAACTTCAACTAGAGCTCATCCAGAGTTCTTATAACAATTGTAACATCCTGCCTGATTTCCAGCTGAGCTATTGATAAAGCCCTTCAATTGAAGACAGGAAAGCATGGCAGATGGAAATGAGTATTTCATTTTTGAAGCCAGCTTGGAAAAAAAGAATCCCAGGAAGTACAGAGGAATAAGAGCAGTGAAGAGGCACAAAGGCTTATTCCTAGCAATAAAACCCCAGAAAAGGGAGAGAACACAGAGGTCAGGGGATTTGTTCCCGGGGTGGTGGAAATCCAGGGTGGGAAATACAGGGAGAAGTCGTCTGAGGGTCTCAGAAGAAGAGGGCTGCAGGGGTACAGAGGAGCCCAGAGGTTCTAGGGGTTGAGTGGAGGTGGGGGGTGCTCTGGCACATGCAGGGCAGGCACATACGCAGCAGCTGTTCATCTGCTCCGGCCAGCAGCTGGTAGAAGATGTGGAAGTTCCGCTCTCCTGTGAGCTGCTTCACCACTCGGGACTTCTCCAGCAGATCTGGCAGAGAGTTAGGAAATAATGTGCAGGGGGTCTGGGAGACACCACAGCTCCCTCTCTCTTATCCTCATCCCAGCACTCCGAGTGGTTGGGAAGGCTGGTGTTCACTTTCCCCCTCCCTACAGCAGTAGTTTAGCAGAACAGGACTCTGTAGGGCAGGTGGAAGAGAGAGGCGGTAGGCAGAATGGGGAGACACGTACAGTTTGTGATGACACCACCGAGAGGACTTCCCTTGAAGTCAAATTCAATATCCATGTATTTTCCCTTCAAAGACAAGAGAGACTTTGCTTCCACCTCTTCTCACCAGAACAGGTCTGTGCGGCGTTCCTGCTCAAGTCCCCATGCCCTCTCTGCCCTCTCCTCCCCGACCAGATGTGCACTCACAAATCGAGAGGAGTTGTTGTTGCGAATGGTCTTGGCATTGCCGAAAGCTGCAGAGATGAGGAAGGGAAGTGAGGGAGCTGAGGGGCAGGGAGGGGCTCTAGAGAAAGGAAGTCCTGCCCAAAGTCATGCTGACTGAGCCTGCAGGCTGGGCAAGAATAGGACTTCAGGCACATTGGGTGACAGGGTCTAGGGAGGAGTGTCTCCAGGGGCAGAAGGGTAAGGGTGGGGAGGGCGGAGCCCAGGACTCACCCTCCAGCACCGGGTTTGACTGAAGTAGTTGCTCCTTCACAGAGTTCACCTGCTCTCCTTTCCCACAGACAGCCGCCACATAAGACATCACCAGCTTACTTGCCTCTGTGCAAGAGATAGCCTCACATGGATCCCACCACCCTCCTTGGCTTCCCTCATTCCAGGACCTGACCCAAGAGTCAGAAAAACCAGGAAGGAATTTCTGGGATGGGGGCAGGAGCAGGCCTGGCTTGGAAAGAGATAGGGGGTAGTTCCAGCAGCTGACGCCACACCTTCCCCAGCCAGGTGCCTCACCAGTCTTTCCAGCTCCACTCTCGCCCGTGATGAGGATACACTGGTCCCGGTCCCGATCCTTCAGTGACTGGTATGCCACATTCGCCAATGCATAGCTTGGGGGAGGAAATGCATGATGACTGATACGGGGCCAGTGAAATATGCCCAGCCTCCCCACTTGCACCAGATTCAGGCAGGTGACAGGCCTAGGAAGGGGAGGAAGCACCAGGGGAGGAAGGGGCAGCTGGAAAGCCTCCCTCAGAAAGACTAGACGAAATTAGGATGTCTCATCGTTGGGAAGCTGAGGCCAGCTTCCCTCGGTCTCTTTACTTACATATGGGGCTTCAGCTCATAGAAGGTATAGTCCCGGTATTTGGCAATGAAGTCTGGGCCATAGATGGGCAGCTGTTGGTAGGGATTCACTGAGATCAACACGTTCCCAATGTAGGTCTGGAGCAGAGAAGATGACGGGAACAAAAGTAAAGGGGGGGCTTTGGGGGAACACGAGCACATGAACTCCAGCCACATGCCCACAGCCAGGGACACCCACACACTCTCACATAAATCTCCTTCTTTTCGTAGCGCAGCTGGAGGTTCCTGAGCAGAGACTCCTGCTCCACTGGTTCCAGGAGCACAAGGTCCTCCACCCCAACAGAGCCTTCAACGAGAGTCATGTCCAGAGAGCCTACTGATCCTGGGAGAAAGCAGGGGGGCGGGGAAGTTTGTTGATGTCTGCTCAGCTTTAGGGGCCAGTAACTATTTGCGGGGAGGAGAGCAGAAGGACCTGAAAGCCTCCCTCTCCCACAAGTCCTGGTCCTAGAAAGGCCTCTGGACAAGCCAAAGTTGTGAGAGGCTGCTGACACTCTGCAGAAGATGGGAGATTCTCTGCTCCCTCGATTAGCTTTGGTCAGGTTGGAACAGGGCCACCTGCCTCTGATCACCAGGGTAGGGAAGCACCCAGTAGGCAGCAACTGGGGGAGCACAGCTGAGCCTGCAGGAGAGAGGGCTGGGGAGGTAAGGGTAAGCCAAGTTTTATGCCTCAGCCAGGCACGGAGGGCTTTCTCCCTCCTGCCTGAGGCCCTGGCCAGGGCCCAGACTCTCTACCTGCTCCCAGTCCTCCTCCTCAACTCCCTGCCTTTCATAGCCCCTATTTCAGTCAGCCGACCACCCACACCCATTGTAAAAGTTCTTCCAAAGTCTTTTCCTCCCCTCTCGTTGCTACAGTGAGATTCATTTCTTAAATGGGGACTGGACAAGGTGGCAAGTTAGAGGACAGAGGCAGGAGTTCCTCCATAAAAGATTAGAATACCCAGAGAAAATGAAAGTGAGGTTTGTTTCCCTAAAATCAAGTAGCTGTCAGGACGTCTGGATGTGCCTACATGTCCGTCCCATTTTTCTATCTCCAGCTCTTACACCCATTCTTATAACCTTCTGGGGTGGACTTTGCCCAGAGGGATACATCCAGTTTTTAGTAACTGGCGGAAATGGGCAAGGAGGAATAGAGTTGGGGGGACAGGGAGCCTTGTGGGGCTGGGCCCCCACACAGTAGGTGGGCACATGGCAGGTATAACCTAAAGAAGAGGCACAGCCACCTCAGTCTTTCCTGTGGGACTGAGGTAGGCAGGTGACTTAGTGCAGGACAGATATTAGTACAATGGCCAATGCCGCTCCCTACCAGGAATAAAAGAACCACATCCTCCTACTCTCCTGCACTGCTGAACCTGGGTGGGGGAGGGAAGGGCAGCAGGAATGGAAGATCAGGCAAGAAGAGAGTGCAGGCTGCCCTCTCCTTTCACTCTGCTTTCCCCAGGCTCCAGAAAAAAGCAGCACTTGTCATTTCTTGGAAGGACACAACCGAAGGAGCAATAAGAACACTGCAGTAGTAATCTACCAATCATGTAACATTTACCATGGGCCAGACAGGGTTCTAAACACTTCACATATACGAATCCATTTGATGCCTACAATATCGGTACAACTATTATCCACATTTTCCAAAAACTTTTTAAAGAAGTAATTTGTCAGGGAAGGGCAAGCAGCAGAAGCAGGGCTGAGAAAAGGCACACTCCCTTTGGATTTAGGTTTAAGGGGAGTGAACTGTGATTGGCTGGAGGTAGGGAAGGGGAAAAAGGCAGCAGCTTCCAGATGCAGCACCCCAAGATGTGAAAAGAGGAGCAGTGACAGGTCAAGACAGGACTTACCGAAAGCTGGAACTAGGGTGTACCTTCAGAGTGTCCCTTGGAGAATGGTGGATAAAATTCCAATGTGACAAAGGGGCAGAGGAATCCCAGGCCCCAAGGTTGGGAGGTGCCTTGGTTAATGGGAGCTGTCCATGGTGTCATAGAGCAAGGAGAGCTGCCCTCCCCTTGCCAGCGTCCACTCTTCCAACCTTCCTCTGCGCTGCCTCCTCCAGCCAGGGCTCCCTGTGCCAGTCAAGCCAAGAGAGGCCAGAGACAGCTGCTCAGGACTGGCTGCTCAGCACAAAGTCCAAGGCTTTTCCTGCTGAGGGTGTGGCTCACTTAACCCTTTACAGGTCTGAAGCCCCAAGGATAGCTGCTCAGTCACTTGAGAAAGCCCCCTCTAAGTAGGAAAGGTATCTGGCAGGCCTTAGTTGAGAGGCTCAAGTACCGTTCCTTGCTCCATTGCCCCCAAAATTTGGAAATGAGAGGAGTGGAATTTCTAGTCAAGGAAAAACTTTTTCAAAAAGTCAAGAATTCTGTCAAGGAGGAAGGCAGGCTGCAGTGTCTTCTGGCAAAGAAACAGTACCTCCCTCAAACCTACCCTCCCTATCCTGTTGGAAGTTGGGGGCATTAATGACATTACTTGGGGAACTAAGTAGACAAAATCCCCAAATTCCACTCCACTTCCCTCCCCCCATGAATCAGACTATCAAAGACTAATGTTAGTCAATAAACACCTGGCATCTGTATAGATGTCCACTTTTCACTGACCTCCCACCTGTATCATCTTACTGAATCACACCACCCTGACGCAGGCAGTGCAGATACTCCATTAAGAAGGGGAATTAGAGGCAAACTCCCAGGCTCAGAGAGGCTATACAATGTGTCCATAGCAGTGTGTGGCAGAACCAGGAACAGAACACAGCTTCCTGACCCCAAGTCAGCCACAGGTTCCAGTCCAAGTCCTGGTATTTCTAAACTGAATCTTTCCTCTGTGCTAGGATACTGAAAAGGACCGAGATGCTGCTTCTTGGGCACTAGCCTAGCTGGAAATAGCTGCCTCCAATAGGTAAGAAGCTTATAAAATCCTATTTTACAGAGTATCCCTCAACCATCCAGGATAACTCCTTAACAGCAGGCTCCCTCTGCCCACCACCCTCTCGCAGGCATGCACAAAGAGCAAATTAGGTAATTACAGACACTTAGCTGAAGATAGACTGCATTCTCCAACTCCCAGCCACAGCTGCTTGGTTCAAGGTCCAAACTCTATTGCTCGAGAAGCACTCTGCATACGCCTGGCCCATCAGCAGTTCTATTATCAACCTGCCCTTACATAATTTATTGATCTAATATATATATTTGAAGGGAGAAAAAAGGAAAAGAGAGAGAGAGAAAGCTGAGTGGAAGTGACATTAGGACACAATCCCACTTACAGGTGGAGTGGTATCATGGTACCAGTGGCAGAAATGACTACACACTGAACAGTGGAGGAACCAGACCTAAAGTGAGAAGCCACTTTCCCAGGATCACACCAGTGCAAACCCAGCTGGCTGGGGCCTGAGCCCAGCTGTCCTGCTCCCCAGGCCAGGTACCCACAAGCATCTACATCTTGGGGTTTATCTGTTGTCCACTCATTCACTCATTTATTGAATGCCTACTATGTGCTCACATAAAAGAATAGACTCTAAAACGAGATGGCAACCTGATGGCATGAATGGCACAGCTAGGGCAACCAGCTGTCCTGTTTGTCTGGGACCTGAGGTAAGTTCTCTGGAAAGGGAAATTTGTATGCTAAAACTAGGTAAATTCTGGGCAAACTGGGATGAGTGGATCATTCTAAATCAACAAGGCACAAAATATACATCCAAGTCAGCTGGGATTTCAAAATCTGTCAAAGTATTCCTGGGATGAGGAGGCCACATGGGAGATGCAAGACAGCGATCTGCTTCCCAGGCAAAACTGAAGCAACTGGAGCTCATTGGTCTTCCTCCACTCTGACTCGGAAATCCCCTTCATAATTTCCCCCGTCAACATTTCTAGTTTGTGAAAGGGACATGAGGAACTTTTGCAGCGATGGAAATACTCTGTATCATGATTGTGGTGGTCATACAACTAAACTGTCTCCATTAGCCAAAATTCAGCAAAATTTGAAACGGGTGGATTTTACTGTATATAAATAATACTTCAATAAAGATGGCAAAAAAAGAAGAGGAAGAACAAACAACTCCAAGTCCTTTAGTGCTGACTGCTGACAGAGCTGGGAGGGCAACAATCGGACTCAGCTAATTCATACTCCTTAGTCCCCCTGCGGACACTGACTTTCTAAAAGATGGACACAATAAAATGCAGAAGCTTTCAGACATGGCGGGGAGGATATCTGATGAGAGAGGGTCACGCTGACCAGGTACTTACTATGTGCCAGGCAACAAGCCAAATGCTTTACATCCCTGCTATTCAAAGTGAGGTCCACACACCAGCAGCCTCTCAGTCACCTGGGAGCTCATTAGAAATGCAGAAATCTTGGACCCTAACCCAGACTTACTGAATCAGAAGTCTGCACTTTAACAAGCTCCCCAGGTGATTTCATGCATGTTAAAGTTTGAGAAGAACTGCTTTACACACCTTATCTTTTATCCTCACTAAAACCCTATGAAGTTGCATACCTAGCAATTAAGTTTTTATTAATTTGACAACTAATGATCACCTAGTCTCTTATTTACTACTATAGTTATAGAAGGGAGAGGAAAAAGGTGTCATTAGAGTGCATCAATCTACATAAATTTACATATGGTCTACATCCTGTTTCTTCCTATTTCACCGTCTTTGAAAAATGGGACAATGGATTCTCATGTAACTGAGAAAAGACAGGTACAGAATTAATGCAAATGCTACAAAGGATTCCCAGAGCAAAGAAAACAGCCAAAATATAAAAGAAGATGGAAGGTACCAGATGTCTACTGCAGAGGCTGGGCTTAGACATAACTGGAGCTTTTATTTGCTGGCCTCCATTGCTCACTACAGCGCTGCTCCCTCTCCTGTCCTACACAAAGCATTTGGCAGGTATCCCATAGTAGAATCCACAGGTGTTCCTCTCACCCCAATAGCGAAACAAAAGAGATACTTTATGCTATTAAAAAAGAAAAGAGCTAAAGTACAACCAGAGTAGCTCCCTGGACCAGGAATAACCCACACACAGCTTTTCTAGGAGACAGCCACTCCTAGACAGGTACAAGCTGCTCCTCCTGCAAGATCACCCCTGAAAGATCTGACATCCTAAGAAACCACCCATGACAAGGATGCAAGTAGAGTAAGACAGAGTCGGGATGGGCAGCAGTGGTTAAGAAAAAAGGAAAATAAGTGGCATGCAAAAACACCTCATTAGAAAAATGAAACTAAGGAGCTAACTGCCCATTACCTGGAAACAAGAGAGCCAAATAAGAAAAGTACATGTTCATTAAGAGAAACCACTATATTGTCTATAAAACTTTATTAAAATTGCAATTACTTACAAAATTGTACAATAAAAATGAAAAAATATATAATAATAAGACACTTATTTTTTCTTACAGAAAAGAGTGAAAATGAGACTCATGGCAAAAAGCCATCCCTGATCATTTTGTTCCTTTCAAACACCCATGAACATTCGTTTTAAATATAAATGACAAATACTTTTAAATAACAGCTATTACCCACAGGCTTAAAACTTACCCATGAATTCATTACCCCTACTATTTTGCCATCAATTCTAGAAACATGGGCAACTGAGACAATCGCAGGCTGTAACATTTCTACCACATTATGAGCTACCTGTTACCACGTAAGAATGTTGCCCATGCTGTAGGAAAGTCCAAAGAAGGTGATTTCACCATTTTCAAGTTATTGTCAAGAAATGTGAAGAGGAAAATGACACACATGAATGGGAGGTGTGGGAGCCAAAAGTCCCAAAGTTGGGGCTGTGTATCATTCATCCCCATCTCCACTAAAGCTGTGTGTTGATGTTGGTGTCGATCTGCTAAATTTGTTCTACTCAGACTCTGGCTCCCATCACTTAAGGCACCAAACACCCTTTTTAAGGTAGTAACCATTTAGAATCCAAGTCAACAGCAACTGAATTCATAAGCTAAGTTATCAAGAGACACCAGTGGATCACCACAATTGCATAGGCTTTCCTAAAAAAAAAAAAAATTCCTGCTACATCACAATATAAACAAAAGGTATTACGTGCATCTGCCTTGTACAAAGGCTATTTCACTTATTACTCGGTTTCAGTGCCTATGCAACATAATGCATAATAAATCTGTTAAACTGTCCTCTCCTCAAGTCAGATAAAATTCTTGGCATTTCACTACAGGTTGTTACCTCACATCCGGCCTCAGTCTAGAGGAATACTTTAGTAATAGTTTCCTTTCCTCCTATCTCAGTTTTCAGTACTCAGTTCACAGAAGTTGTGAGTACACAGCTAGAACCATTTTTTAGTGGGTATCCATCTGAGCCATCTTTTTTTCTGGAATAACAAAAAGATTGAGAGCATTGCATAATTTATTTCCAAGCCACTTGTGGATATCAGGGCCTGGGGGTACTATCTGGCCTACTTGGGTCCTTTCATGCATCAAATTTATATCAGATGTGCCAATGGGAACTGGGTTGAAGGAAACACAGTCAATGATGAAAGGGCTAGGCCCTTGAATGGGTTGTATTAGCACAAAATAGAACATTGGGACCTAAAGACTATCATCAGCAAAATCTCCCTTTATAACAGACATAAAAATCATGAATCTGGAGGGAAAAATAAACTAGTTTTGGTAGGAGAAAGTGGCTGATAAGAATTTATTATTAGAAGATATCAAAGTTACTAAATTTTCCTTATTTGATCATTGTTTCCCTTGGTCTCAGGAAAGCAATCTGAGTGGGAAAATGAAGGGGAATGTTTTAGGCCAGCTGGCTCCTGTGTTCCCATTAATGAGAGTCATGCTCTACACAAGTTGGTCAGACTGATTAGAGGCAATGGATTTCCAATACTGATGAGACCCTGAGCCCAAGGGCCAATGTACAGCTTGATATTTCCCTAGCAAGACGCCAACCTGGCAGCAGACACGGCTCCAGTGCCCAGCTCACTCCAGTTACCCTTCAATTCCTCTTGATGAGATTGGTCTGAGAGAAGGGACTGTGCTGAAACTGCAAGTGTAACTGCCAGAGGAAATTAAATGGGGGCTTCAAGTAGTGACTGAGCCAACAGACTAAGTGGCCAAGAGGGAGACAAGGGCAGCTTCCATAGAAGGCTCATGGAGTCGGGCAATCTCTGGGTACATGGAGACTCTGAAGCATCTGGGGCAGCGCCACATAAGCAGGCAGGCCAAGGACACACAGCACACCAGAGGTACCATCCTGCACTGTCTGCAAGTGGCTCTCATTGTCATCTCCACTGCCTACAGCTCAGTTCTCCAACTACCAGATGGGCAGCAATAAACTGAGTTTGATTTTATTCATCCCAAATTCAAACAGTGAAAAAACTGGTCTCGAGATGGAAATTATCCTTCATAAGGAGTTTACTAAACAGAAAAAAAGGAGACTTTCCTCACTTCGCTATGCTTTTTCACAGAAATAAAGGCCTAAGTCAGAAGTCACCCTGGAGGCAGGCTACCACTTCCCTAAGGAGCCATTTGGGGGATGGCACAAAGGTCTCTGGGAATCCTGAGACTACTTGTACAGCTGAGTTTTCAAACCAACTTACACTCAAATACATTAGGTCTTGCTTTCTGTAAACATGGCAAAAAGTAGTAAATCCCAGAGGTTAAACAGTTCTTTGTAGAGATAAAATTTTACCATGTGTATAATTTACAAAGGCATAAATGTTTCCCAATATAAAGCTCCTTTGCTGCAGCTTTATCAACAGCACCTGACCAAACACTGCTTATTTTTCACTTTCTACTGTAATATACCTATTTGCTGCCAACTGAGGTAGTTGTCACTTTAGGACAGTTTAAAGCTGTGGGAAACACTGGTGGAAATAATCAACTGCTCATTGAAGGGGAGCCTCATAGCTGACATTTTGAAAGTTAGCAATGCAGCCCAAGGCCTTTCAAAATTATTTGCTACATGGCCTATCTGAAGGAGTCATTACAGCTTTTTAAAAAATCATCTGCCCTCTCCATGATCATGGTGAGCCAGGAAATCTGATGTTGTGCTCTTGCTGTCAGTGACTATCTTCCTGGCTAGAGCCAATTATAGCCTTTTCCAAGGTACGAAGGTGAAGATCACAAATAGAACCACGCAAAGGGCAGAGACTTGGGAATCTGCTCCCTCATAAATGTCACTGCTGGTTTATAGGGTACTTTCCAATGGCAAAAGAATGTGAAACTAATGCCATCTTAACAAAAGGCAGCATGAATCTCTGGTCAGAAATGGAACTGCAAAGAAGTTCATGGAAAATGTCTACTCCTGAGGGCTAAATGAACAACCAGAGGCACAAAGGTTGCCTGGAGGGCTATTTCCTGGCATGCAAACTGGCACTGACAGCTACTCACTTATATGTTGTACTGAAGATTTCACAGATAGTTTTAAGGCTTCTAATTAGCCTAATGTCATGGGGACAAGTTTAAGTGGTAAGGAAAGGCCAAAAGGAACAGGTAGAGTGGGTAGATAAAGGAAGGGAAATGAAGAGGAAACAGGTTCCTGATTCCACAGCAACTCAAGACATATGACCCACTGACAAGAAAATGGAGAACCAGTAAAAAGCACTTACATTCCCTAAATAAGATCACTCCTAACTAGAAGGAATTATGCTATAAACCAGGGGAGAATGTCAGCAACAAAACAAACTCTGACATGTACATACTTCAAAGGTGAGAGGATAGACTCTTATTGAAAGGGCAAAGGGGACAGAGATGAATGGGACAGGAAGAACACAAATGTATTTTTGAGATGGAATTAAAAGTTGAATATGATCAAAAGTTCAAAGACCTCCCCTACAGAAGAGACTATAGGCCTGTTTCTACTTAAAGCATCATATGTTTAAGAACTAATTCAAAGCTCAACACAACAGCTTCTGGGGCTTTAATGAATAATATACATTAATAAACACTCAAGGCCTATGGAGCTGGGCACTCTGGAGCACTTGCCAGTTCTGGAACAGGGATTTGTGACATTTTAAAAACATATGTATTTAAAAAACAAGACAGGCAAAAATCTACTTCCCTCTTAAAAGAGTTAAAATAAGAATTATTCTAAAGTCACTGAAATAAAAACAGAAGTGAAGGAGGCTCAGATTTGCATATTTCTCTCTAGAAGACACAGACAATAGTCTGAAAGCATTACTACACACGAAACAGTCTCCCTTCTGAGTGTCAGCCACAATGGCAGAAATGCCACGACTGAATTAATGTTCAAAGGGGGGGATGGAATGCTATGCTAGCTGTAGCCATCCTGGAAACATAAGGTGGGGCCAAGAGCATTGGCTACTTTTCCACTCTCCTTCATTGGGATCCCAGAGAGACCACCAAGCCCATTTACAGAGAGAAGCCTACCTCGGTTTCTAATTTCAGCGAGAGAATTTCTGTACTGTCTCACCCTGTTTCAAAGAGCTGAGAAGCAATTGCATAGTACACACAACATGAACCATCAAGGTACCAAGCCAGTCCACATAAAAGTGACAGACCACAACCTAAGTCAGGAAGTTGTTCTGCTGTGTGACAGTGGGGTACCGAGAATCAGAGTCCTCCTCCTCAGAGGATGCTTCTTCAGAGAGTTCATCCTGGGCAATGATGCTTTCTAATCCATATTCCTGCTCGTGGACAGAGATCTCATTTGGTGTGAGGTGGGAAGAACCTTCCACAAAGTCAGCAAATCTGGAAAACAGAAGATAATACTGGTAAGAAGCTACCTTCTGTCCTTTCTAGTTTTCTTTCAAAAGAAGAACAAACTGAAATCCTTGGTATGCTCACAACTCAAATTATGTCGAGTCTAGCCAACATCCTTGTCCTGACTGTGGTAGGTAGTAGACTAGCAAGAAATAAGGAGAAAAGGAAAGCTGGGATCATAGGCTGACATCCTTTGTAGCCCCATCCTGCTTAATAAGCATAGCTTCTCCTTTTTAGTTATGAAAGTACTAAGGTTCCTTTAGTCATCTGAAATCCTGATAAGAGAAGCTTAAGGGGCATTACACACCTATTCATGTTTATGGCACTGTAAACCTTATGCCATCACGATTCCAAACTGAAGTTTCACATACTCATTAGTATACAAGCTCCAGAATAAAAAGGAACACACCCACCACTAAAAAGTACAAAAACCCACAGTACTCAGAAAGCAATGCAAAACTATCAGAGGGGAAACTTAATATAGTCCTGGAGTCTTCTCATCCAATACTACAATTAAAGGTAGAGTAGACAGCGCCTTGAGGAACCAGAAAATAGGCTACTGCTTCACACATGATGCTATACGTACCTTTCTCTTGACTACACCTTGATGAATGGGAAAAGAAATCCCCAAATACAAAGTGATTATCTAGAGGTATGATCTCTGTTAAAACTCAAGGTCATAGTTACTCTGACAGGTGCTTGGCATATCTGGCCAAGAGTTTACCTCTTTGGAGACTGGATTCGAGTAACAGTCTTCCAAGCAGAGCAGTCTGGGCTGTTACAATATTCTCGAAGCTCTGCTAAAGCCTTTCGGGTCTCCACCTCTCCTTGTACCCGATATTCTTCTTCTGTCAGGAGACGAGGGGGGACAGTCTTTTCTGTTGCCTTACACACCTTTCTGTGCTCACCAAAATAACATCATGAATCATTAATCAGTAATCTATAACCACCCTTACCTCCAGTTCCCTTCTGTGGACCAAGCAAACTGCAGAGAGCCTGAACATTAAGAGTCATCATTCCTACCTTTCTTCTATAGACATCTTTGGTTATAATGTTTCTTAAGACTATGAGTGATAGCTCAGAGCGATAATACAAAGGTGAATAAATTCACTTATTTCTCAATAATGATAGAAAAAATATTTATTTTCCAATAAATAGAAAAATGACCAGAAAATGGTGGTATTAAGATTGTGGTCCATTAACATGGCTTTCCCAAACTGAAGGCGTCACCTTGACTACCTGTAATAGAACAGCCGCTGATAATTCCAGAACCTATGATCATCCCATATTCACTACGCAAGGCGGTGATGTGCTATGAATTACATCTGAGAATAAAATAAGACTAGCACTTCCAAGGCAATCTGAGAGCCAATGTGAAAAATCTGATGCAGGCAGCCTGAGAAGGCATTATGGCATAAGTGATGTGCTTTGCACCACCTAGTGGTGACAGGGACACATGACACTTTATTGGATGCTTTTATGCAAAATGAGTAGAATGAAATTATAAAAATGCCTACGGAGAGTCTAAAAAGAAAGACTTGGAAGGAACAAAAAAAGAATCATAATACCATCAATTTTCATTAACAAAGAGGCTTCCAGATCAACACTACTGTATTTTTTCACTGTTAACTGCATCCCGCATTGTTTCAATACAAAGTTACACTGCCTTTCAGTTACCTGTAGGTGATGTAGAGCCACTGAATAGGGTGCTCCAGGTTCTTAGCACACAGAGCCGTGATGACAATGGCAAGAGCAGTGTGTGGTATCTGGATACCAGAATACATGAAACACAGGCCCATCAGCTGCAAGGTCCAGGTCAGCAGGCTGATGCTTCGTTCATTCTCCAGAGGCCCATACTTGTAACAGACTGCAAAACTCACAAAGCCAACTGTGAGGACATAGCCTATGAGAAGAATTATCAGGAGACATTCTTTTTCATCCATAACAGGTAACAGTGATTTGGGGAGAGAGGCAGCAGTGAATTTACTATATGGCATCTATTGAATCAGGAAAATGGACTAGATATTTACTGAATTATTCATACTTTTCTCATTATTTACATATATTTATCTAAGTACCTATTCTTTCTGGTGTCCCAAATTTGTTTCGGATGGAAGACTGAAATATGTTGAGCCATTCGAAAACAGTCTGCTTTTAAAAAGCCTAATAAATGAAAATCCGTATTAATTACCCCTCAAAGAGCAGATTAAGGGTTACTCTGTATAACCAAAGAATTCTTCCTTTATAGATAAGATTCATGTAGACTCCGTTACTTCTTATGGTCTCCAAGTGTATCTAAAATATGAGTATATTAATAAGGTCAACTTACAACTTTTCAGAAAGATGTGTATTGTGTAAAAAGAGATATACTTATAAACACCAACAATTAAAACCTCTCTAGTGGCTTCATTTAATTTAAGAGGTGACAACTGTAGAGGGTTTAGAAATAAGTGAAGAACCATGATTCTTAAAAGTTAATAAATGGAGTGATTATTAAACTCCTATGAGCAGGCAACATCTCTTCATGACCAAATTAACTAAAGAGCCTAGATATATATAAGGAAAAGCAAAACCAACACTTACTTAAAAGATACTGCCAGTAACACCTCCAGATCTCTTGTAAATTTTTTAAAATGAGTTGAATGAGGTACAGAGAAAAGGACCAGCCTCCCACTAGGATGATGTAAATGGGACTTTTCTAAGACAGAGAAGTGACAGTAGAAAGTCACAACAGGCTTTCCATACATAAAAGAAGCAAAATGGAACTACAATCTACAGAAAAAATTCAACCTACCAAAAATGAACAAAATACACATCTCTTAAAAAGACATCCTTTATATTTAAAATGGAACAGTCTGCCAAGAACACTGGGAAAATGAGATATTAAAGAACTTAAAAGCCTATCTATGTAAGTTGCAAACAGCAGGAAGACTTTAATCTCCCACTGTGCACAGGATTTTAAATAAAAAGGGAGAATTTGTATGTAATCAGGCTCTAAACTTCATCATGGAAAGTACCTTTCTGAATCAGGTGCACTGACTTATTTTCAGTGCTCTAAGATTATCCAAGAAAATTGTCCTTCAACTATCCAAGCTCATCATAACTGTATCTGGGGATTCTGCAACTTACCTTGGGCATAAACTTGGACAGTACAAAAATGACGATCAGTAAAGAGGCTATAATTCCCACACTCATCCCAGTGGAATAGTAGAAGATGTGGCTTCTGCATAGAGAAAATTTAGTTCATGACTATGTGTGTATTCTTCATACATGGCATTGTTCAATGTAGGACAACTATCCCAGCCAAAAGAAAAAAAGGCAAAATTTTAGAGCAGGTATTTGCCAAAACTTGAGGTCAGAAAACTGGAGAAACTCGTGCAATATAGTTGCTGGCAGATTATGAGGATAAGAATCAATGAGGTCCCATCAAGTATATACCAATAAACCTGTTTAGTCTCCTACTCCCATCCCCAGCACCTCTCCCAACACAATTTTTAATAAAGAATCTTTCTTCTGAGGAACTGCACAGTTTCTCTGGGGAGAAGGGCAAGAACACTGCCCAGCTGAGACTTGGAAACTGGGAATTAATTCACTGCCCAGATGGATAAACCACAGGGCCTAGAACAGAGCTCCTACTCTTATCCCAGGCCCTTTCTACCAGACATTGCTTCCTCACTGTGAGTTTCTCCTGGGATTCCCCCAAATAAGGAATAACTTTAACCAACCTCACTCCAACCCAGCTGCAAACTCCAACTGTCAAGCTCTCATTCACTATATCACAAATATTCTTTTCACTGGGACATAGTATTGCTCTACCTCTATTCAATGTTTGGTTATTCACATGCTCTCTTCACATTTGTGCATGTCAGGTTCACCCACCCCAACTAGTAGATCCCTAAAGGCAGGGATGACTAAGTAGTAATGTTTGAGTCTTTACTGCTGAATGGCATAAGACTCACTAACACATGGCCCTGGAAAAATGAGGGCTTAACTCATTCTAATGGTGGGAAGGACGGTGATGTATTGGCTAAATCCCATCACATGATGAGTCAATCAAATGGGGGAATTTCATCATTGCAAATCTTATCCAATACAAGAAAAAAGCAAAAATCCTAACACATATTAAAATATTTTCTTAAATTATCCAAGCAAGCAATGGCCTCACTGTAAAGGTCTTGGAAAGGGGAATGGCAGCACTTAAAGTCTTTATGATAAAAGTCAAGCAGGGTGAGTCTGAGTCTTGTCATTCCATACTCTAGCACTGGAACCTACCTGCTCAGCAAGTCTCCACAAAAAAAAAGCATAAGTCCAAGGAGGAAAATGAGGAAGAGTCTGGGGTCAAATCCTGAAATAAAAAAAGATTTCTTTTTAATAGGGAACCAAACAGTTTAAGGCATTATAGAATAAAAGGCAATGTTGGCATTATTGGTCAGCTAATAAAACAAATGCAAATGGTCCACCTAAACATCATTATAAATTCCACACAAAGCCTGGGCACCCTTCCACAGAAAAAGTATAATTAGGTCTCTGTCTACCCTGTGCTTTCCTAAGGTCTTAGTTTTGTTTGGCTACCTATGCCAAGACTAAAGCAGCTAAGCTTTGCTGTGGACAGAGCCAGGCGCAAGGCCATCATCACTTCATGTGGTCTCCCACAAGGGGTCTCCACAACTTAGTCACTCACAGACTCCGACACAGCAGCTCTGCCTAGACTTTGGGTCAGCACCCTGTTTTATCTAACTGGCGGCTTTTCTTGCCCAACAACACCACCGACTTTCCTTCACTACACAAGCACTGTGTTGGAAAAGCCTACACTCAAACACATCTCTCCCAGGACCAGGGTGCCCAAGCAGAGGCCCTTTAGTGGCATACCAGATGCTCCCACGGCTTTCACATTTGAGAACTCTGAGTTTAGGAGAGGTCTACAAACAAAACAGGAGCAAGAGGAGTCAGTATGGTAAAAGCGACACCAAAAAGTGGCATATAACCTTAGACCAGTGGAACTCTTAAGGCAATTAGAAGGTTGCAACCTATTTCGTAGCAAAACCCAGGCATGTTTCTACTACTCACAACATCCCAGGAACCTGGGTAGTAACCAAGAAGAGACCAGAAGTCAGAAAGAATTCAACAGGATAATAATCCACCTATTCTGTAATACTCTCTCACCCAAATTCAAAAAATTTCACCCAGTTCCACTGAATAATCCTTAAACCACAGTGATCTTCATATTTTTTTATTTATGGTTCTACAAAAAATTTTGAAAAACATTTTAAATAAAACAATTGTTTTTCATGCCCTCAAATGTAGGCCTGTATATTTCAGGACATCTGTATTTGTGCAGAAGTGCCTGGGAGGCAGGAATACAGCTGTCTTACTCTGAAGAATACTAGGCATATCAGCTCAGGTTCATTGGAAGTATTAGGAATGTAAGTCTACACAATTCTAGGCTGAAAGGGTTTTATGGGGGTGGGGTCTCTGAACCGTCTGGAGCAATAGTGTAGTCAGGTTATAATCAGAACCAAAAGGGGGCTTTTCTAGACTGATGTCTGTTTCACAAATTATAACCTCCAAAGCTCAGTCCCCTCTCACTATAGAATCCATCAGAAAAATAGGTTAAGACTTACTCCGGGTCACAGTGACACTGTATTTGGTGTCTTCCTCTATAATCTCAATTTTGAGGCAGGTTTCTGTGCTGTACAGACCCACATTAACATATGTGTCATTCAATTTCTCTTTTAAAAAAGAGGAAAAAAAGTTCCAGATACTAAACTGCTCTAGCTCCTTCAGTTTATCCTCATTCTCCACCTGGGTGACTCGTACCAGTTTGGAACTATTTACTCGGATCTGTAACACAAGTAAAATTGGGATGAGAAAGAAGGAAGTAGGAATTTACAATTTTACAAATACAATTAAGAAATAATAAACTTTAGAACAAATAGCTAAATCAGTTTTGATGTCAGTTTTCCATAAGGCTTATAAGAAAGATAGAAATGCAGTGGCTAAAATATAATTGTGCAAATAACATTGCACATGGTAGAAAGATGCAGCTTTTTAAAATGTCTTGTTGGTAGCATTATCTGGATCTACTATTAGGCCAGAACACAGGGGGAAGAAAAGACTTCCAAGCTAAAAGAATTACCAGTACAGCTATTTACAACAGATCATACAAAGCAAGGGTCTAAAACATTAGGAATATTGCCAGTCATGAAAAGCCCCAGAAAACTGAAAGGTTCCCATAATGACAAGCTGAGAAGTTCAACCCTTTGTCACAAATCACTAATTATGGTAAATGTTAGTTATAATGTGCCCCAGACGGAATATGATCTTTTACATCAGATAATAAAAAAAAGAGAATCAAAAAAATTTTCATGTAAACAATACCCTTATCAGTAAGTATGCTTGTGGCAGCAACAGGATTTCCAAAAGAACTCATTTTGTGCAATCATTATTACAGCCAGAAACTTGCTTGCCAGGAGGCTTAACATTGTTAAGAAATAAATGAGACCAAAGTCATTCTATTAAGGGAAAACTTCAGCTCAGAGGGTTTATGAAACAAGTCATAGAGAATTAAAATAGAATAGGAGCAGCAAGGCAAAAGAGCTTACATCCTGGCTGGCACGCAATAGTTTCCAGCCCAAAGAAGGCATAAGCCCTCTAAACAGAGAGAGGGGTGTGTGCGCAAGTGTATGTAAAAGGAGAAAGGGAAAGAAGGAAGCAGTTTCTTTGGGAAAAGGAGGAAGTTTCCCTCAGGGTCAAGTATTACAAGCTACTTATGGAAACAGAGAGGAAAACAAAGTAGGCATAAATACTTCCTGACAAAACACAACTCAGGATATCAACTGTAACTAGGTTGTTAACAGGACGTGTGTGCGTGAGAAAAAAATGTCAAAGTACTCAGTCATCACAGACAGATATTCATAGAAGCTGCCCCTGCCAGAAGCCTCCAAGTTATTACCTGTATCCGTGTCCATACATCATACCACTTTGGGATAAGTACATTTTTATAACAGAACTGCTGACTGGTCTCCATAAAATAAACTCGGGACTCCTGAAGCATGACCACGTTTACATCAACTCCAGCTTTATGCAAAGAAAGGAAACAAGAATTAAGTATAGCAGAACACACTAATAACTATAATTCACTTCATAAAAAGAATTAAACTGATTACTTTCTTACTTGGGGTTAAAATGTCAGTGTCTGAGAAACAATAAGAAAAACTGAGGTGAGGGAAGAAATACTACAGTCTTACTTCTGTCAAATTTAATTATTTCAATATTACAAATAATCACTAACCCAAAATAAGTACTAATAAAATCTACTATTGAGGGTTTAGTAAGACAGTATGCTACCTCATTTAACCCTCCTGACAACGCTCAGCTAAGCAGCCTCATAATCCCTATTTCACGAACGAGGGAATGATGTTTAAGTAATTCGCCCAAAGTCATACAGCTAGCAAAGAACTTACCTGAGGCTCACACACATATTTTTTCCCTTTAAAAAAGCATAGCTAGAGTACCATTTGCTGATTTTCTCTATGTCTTTCCTGAGTCGGACGAACAGAATTGGCAGCAGTTTTGTATATACAGTACTTAAGTAAATACTAAAGACTGCAAAGTTGTTTTTTCCAGCTTTTTTTTTCATTTCAAGTTTTAAGAACAGTTAATGAATATATGCAATCCCTTTGATTCTTACCAATATATAAGATTCTCCTTCAGAAATTTGTATTCAATCTCAGCTAATTCAAGCTTAAAAGTGACCACTCTCCTACCTTCCCACCCGTTTGCACAAGCTGACTTCCTTACCACAAAACTTCCTTCAGTAACTTCCTTAAGTAACTTCCTTGAGTTCTATATTACACTTATCAACTTATTAAAAGCTACTCTAAGTGGAAATTTTAGTTATTACTCTTGGTCTTAGTACAAAGGTAGGTAGATTGAAATAAAATAAAAAACAAAAACAAAACTACAAAAACTTCAACCAAACTTAGAAAGCCAAAGTTACATACACATAAACGAAGGCAACGATACCCACCAGTCCTTTTAAGATGAAGATACAACTAATTTTGAAGTTAAATTCCGTCTTAAACCCAAATTTAAGAGCAAAAACTATAAAACACTTAGAAGAAAACATAGGTGTAAACTTCTATAACCTTGGATTAGGTAATGGTTTCCAGATATGACAGAAAGGCATAAGCAACCAAAGGGAAAAAAAAATAGACAAGTTGGACTTCATAAAAAATATAAAACTTGTGTTTCAACAGATATTATAAAGAAAGTGAACAGATAACTCACAAAATGAAGGAAAACATTTGCAAATAATGTATCAGATAAAGGTCTAGTAACCAGAATATATAAAGAACTACTGTAACTCAACAATAAAAAGAGAAATAACCCAACTATAAAAATAGACGAAGGATTTGAATAAACATTTCCCCAGAGAAAATACACAAATGGCCAATAAACACATGAAAACATGTTCAACATCATAAGTCATTAAAGAAATGAAATACTTCATACTCATCAGGATGGCTATATTCAAAATGAGAACAATAGCAAATGTTGACATGGATGTGGAAAAACTGGGAGCCTCATACATTGCTGATGGAAATGTAAAATGGTGCAGCCTCTTGGGAAAACAATTTGGTAATTCCTCAAAGAGTTAAACAGAGTGAGCAAATGACCCGGTATTTCCACTCCTACGTATATACACAAAAGAATTGAAAACATATAGTCACACAAAAACTTGTACATGAATGTTCATAGCAGCAATATTCAGAATAACCAAAAAGTGGAAATAACCCAAAAGTTCATCAACTGAGGAAGGGATAAACAAAATGTAGCATATCCATATGATGGAGTATTAGTCATAAAAAAGTACTGTCACATATTACAACATGGATGAACCATGAATATATTATTCTGAATGAAGAAAGCCAGACCAAAAATGCTGTATTTTGAATGATTCCATTGACACGAAATGTCCAGAATAGGAAAAGTTGTCCAAGAAAGCTTTCCTTCCCTCTCTTAGGATCCCTGGGCTCGGTCTGAAAATTTAACTGACAGAAACAGATTAACAGGAGAAAAGCATACAAATCTGTTTAATATGAGTTTTACATGACACAAAAGCCTTCATAAGGAAATGAAGAATAGTTAGACCTTTGTACTTTTATGCTAGGTTTGGTGAAGAGGGGACAGTTATGGAGGAATATGGTAGCGTAAGGCGTATGACATAATTGTAGTAAACTGTGGGCAACTGAATAAGGCCTGTTTGTTCACATTCCTGTCTGGGCCCCTAGTCTTCAGAAATAAGGATGTTCCAAGTATAGGGAAGGCACCTCTCATACAATGGCCTATTGCAAGGAAGAAGGGCAAGGTACAAAGGGAATGGGGGGCTGGTCAGAATGACATTCCTAGTTCTGTTTTCTCAAACTCCTTCAGCTTAAAATATCCAATATGCTAAGGTGCCATATTTTGAGAAACATCAGTTTCTCAGTAGGGTTTATTCTAATAGTAATCTAGATCTCTCCTAACTTACGTTTCATAAAATGAAACCTTTTCAAAATCCTGTTGACATCTGTCCCATTAGCAAGCCCACAAATATACTGAAAAAATACCCACTCGCAAATATGGCTCAAGAGTTTATTTTCTTCCAGAGAGTGTAAGAAAGTAAGGTTATGAGAAGGTTAAAACAATATATTTACAAATTCATTGAAGTCTGCAAAAACATTGGGATTGAAAAAAAAAGATGTTGAACAAGAACCTATCACTTCCTTAAAATAAGAGCCCATCATCTATTTACAAAGTCCCAAGTAAAAACATATACATGTCAAAAAAAAAAAAGATTCACACTTATTACCTCTCACAGCACCAATATAACAGTATACCTTTTTAAGCCCATTATTATATTTCAGGGGGTAGTAAGATACAAATAATGTGTCAATGGCACAGGCCATTTGAAAAATTAGTGTCAAGAAAAGGCATCATTATTTTTAAAGTAACTTTAAAATTCTGATGCCATTTTCCGAAAGCAGTAAAATTGTTTTATAATAAGCAACATCTTTTAAAATCTAGTTCTTCCTTTCCCCAAGTTCTACACCATTCAAGGGAAAGAATTTTAATTAAGATGAGTACATAAATAAATAAACCTCTTTAACAGAAATCTCCTATGGAAATCAGCACCTTGGCTAGCCACATATTTGGAAATTCACTAGGAAGGAAAATATATCAGTTCAGCCCAAGGACATAATCTGTGGAAACAATCACCACTCCAGCTGTAGCTTAATTTGTTAGAAACACAAAACTAAATCAAATTACCTTAAACATAAACAAGTTATCGAAATGCTCACGTTAGAAAGTCATGAAAAACAACCTCTTCTAATTCTTAAATAGCCTCTATTCATTTGTCAAGAGGTAATCAGTCCATCCTTAAAAGCCTCCTTAAAAATTAGTATCTTAACTCAGTGGACTTAGCAAAGGATTATTAAAGGGATGCTGGAACAACTGTTACTTGGAAAATAAAATCTATCTAGATTCTCACCTCACACCAAATGCTAACATTAATTATAGATTAAAAAATAAAATGAAAAAAAATTAAATGTACCACAAAAAATATATACCGATTTTGAAGAGAGGTCTTTAAATCTAAAGAAAATCAAGTGACCACAATGCAAATCTTCTATTTAAAAAGATAAAAGGGGGCTCTGCATAAATAGATTATAAACATATATCCTTAAATAATCATACAAATTGATTTTAACAGCACACAAAAATTTCAGTAATGATCACAATAGGCCAAGAACAAAGACACACTCACTCACACACACGCCAAAAAATTTAAAAGTCTAAACAGAAAATTAAATAATTAATAAACAGCTGAAAGATGCTCCCTCATAAGTTATGCAAGAAATGCAAAGTAAATCAAGATACCACCTTTCAATCTATCAAATTAGCAAAGATGTTAGTCTGGAATATCTGATGCTGGCAAGGATATGGGTCACAAGCATATATTGCTGAGTGATATAAACTGACACATTTTCAGGAAAATATTTTAGCAAGATATTTCAAGAGTCTTAAATATGTTAGCTTTTGATCTAAAAAGTCCATTTCTGAGGATCTAGCCTAAGAAAAAGCCCAAATGAAATAAAAAAAGGATACACAGATGTTCAGTGTTATCTATAACAATGAAAAACTAGAAACACCACAAATATCCAACCAAATGTTTAATTTAGAAACATTAAATGGTCTGTTGAAAAAATAGAATACAAGTAAAATTAACATTTATGAAGAATTATAATGATATAGGACAATGCTTATGCTACAAAACCAAATGAAAAACTATCTCTGGTAAAAACTGGTGACCTCCAGGAAAGAGAACTGGATTGCTGAAAGGCATATGAATATATTATCAACCCAAAAGACTCTCTAATTAAGACCACGTGGAAAAAGAACACAAGAAACTGTGCTAAAATGGATTGCCTCTGGTGAATAAACACTAAGGGCTTTTCCCTACTTCTTTATACTTAATTGTATTTACCAAATAGTCTAAAATAAACTCATTTTACAATCAAATTTTTTTCAAAACCTTGCAGTGAAAAAGAATTCCCTACCTTTTGAAGTACTTGCTCCATTCTATCTCTAGGTACCCTTTAGAAAGTTCTTCTCTATTACCTGATTGTCTTTGTAGCTGCCACCCACACCATCAGGCCACAAAGAACAAATACCATCCCCTGAGTTTTATCCTTCTCCAAGCAAGTCCCTGTTCCTCTCATTAGACTGCTGACTGAGCGCTAAGTATGTAGAAACATTTTTTGCATATATTTTATTTCACCCCTACAATCCACAGCCCCATTTTTTAAGTTAACCATCTAGCCCAGGTTCACTCAGATCATAAACCCTTCAAATGTTACTCTGGGCCCTACCTCTGGAAAAGTACTTTCCTGGATATGTACTCCCTTCTCCCTAAAACAACCATTTCAGAAGGACCGTACACTATGCAACGAGACCTATGGATCCTGGCACCTGCTGCAGCTAAGGATAAACATGAGTGACTGCATGACGTGGACAGCAAACCAACAGAATACGAGAGCATGTGTTTACAAATCCCGTTATCCTTAACCCCGTGAACTTCAACTCTCTCCGGTGAAAGCTTAGAAACCTCACTTATTTTTCTGTCGTGCATTTAGCAAAGTTGAAGGTGGCGTTTTATAAATATACTCTAGGTTTTCTGGATTCAAGTGGAAAAGAAAAAGTTTCATCCCAGGCCAAAGCCAAATTATCTAGCAGTTATCAATTTGCTTGAAGAATGAATAAATTTCCAAAAGAAACCTACTCGGTGCTGAATGGTGTTTTTATCTTTTTTGGAAACGGGCATTTAACAGCTCCAGGTCCATTCTCTGGGGCCGGAAAGGGCCAGGATCTTACAAAGGGTAGAAAACATCACCTAGAGATGCTGCATTTCACTGAACTTACAATGATGTGTTCAGCACCCGTTCCCTGAGTCCTAACAGAACATACGCTCAGAAGGTGCTGCTAATTTGCCTCATGAATGGGATGCTCCCTTTCCACTGCCAGCTCTGCCTGCCCGAAGTGTGCCTCGGGTTTCCTTCCTCTTAACCAGGAGAGTCAAGAAAGCCAGAACAGTACGACGCAGCCCCAGGACCGCTTCTCAACCAGTCCGGGCCTCTCTTCCTGCCTCAGCTAGAGGCTCCAGGCTCCCCACGCGCTCTGGGAAGCTCCCGGAGGCTGCCCCAGGGCCCTGACCCCTCAGCGCTGAAGCCCACTCCCCGGCGACGAAGCTTCTTCCTCCGCACTAGGCCCGAGTCCCTCGGCTGAGTTAGCGGCCCGCGCGCCCTGGGGGCAGTCCTGCTTTTCTAAATATAACCCCCTCGGCACCCGCCCCTTGGCAGCTGCTGCCCGGCGATACCTGAGCAGACCAAGCAGCCGGAGAAGATGAGGAGAAGCCGCATTGCCCCACCACCCCCAGACCCCCAGACCCAGGGCCCGACAACAACTGCCGGTGACACCGCCACTTTCATTCCTCCCGCCATGGCCGCCTCACACCGCCTCCTGCTCACATGCCCCTCCCCGTAACTAACCCCAACAGACAGGACCTGTAGCCTATCCACTACAAGACCCGCCCCCACCAACCAATCGGATGGGAGGAACTCGGAACACTCTGCCCTTGGCCGACCCTATTATCCCGCCTCTTAGCAACTGATGCAATAGGGCAGGAGGAACAGCTTTCAGCCTATTAAAAAACGGATTATCACCGTAGCAATGGCGACAGGAAGGTCCCACCCCATAACAACATGCTTCCGGCTCCAGTTTATTTACAACTGGTGCGATTGATGGTAAGCTTAACCAATAGAAAACAAGAATGGGCAAGGCAACCTTGACCAAACTTGGATCTTTCTCTCCAAAGTGTCTCAAGTTCCTTCTGTTTTCCTTCCTTTTTACCAGTATGTTTATGAGAAATTTGTAATCGAAACGTTTTTAAGAAAGGCACAGGGTCTTTTTGAAGTATAGTTGATACACAATATATTAATTTCAAGTGTACCTCGGTGATTCCACAATTGTGTAATCATGAAATGCACCCCACAGTGTGGTTACCATCCATCACCATAAAGTTATTACAATATTATTGGCTATATCCCTATGCTGCACTTTTCATTCCCCGCATGACTTATTTTGTAATTGGAAATTTGTACCTCTTTATCCCCTTCACTTATTTCGCCCATCCCTCCACCTCCCTCCCCTCTGGCAACCACCAGTTAAAAGTATTTATGAGTCTGTATTAAGAGTTTCTTTTGTTCATTTGTTGTTTTTTTTAGGATTACAGATATAAGTGAAATAATTTGGTATTTGTCTTTCTCTGACTTAATTCACTTAGCATATTACCCTCCATGTCCATCAACAGTAAGATTTCATTCTTTTTTATGGCTCAGTAATATTCCAGTGTATGTGTGTATGCCACCTCTTCTTTATTCATTCATCTATTGGTGGACACTGAGGTTGCTTCCACATCTTGGCTATTGTAAATAATGCTACAATAAACATAAGGGTCCATTTATCTTTTCACATTAGTGATTTTCTTTGGGTAAATACTGGTTCATATGGTATTTCTACTTATAATTTTTGAGGCATCTCCTTACTGTTTTCCATAGAGGCTGCACCAATTTACATTCCCACCAACAGTGCACAGGGATTTCCTTTTTTCCACATCTTCACCAATACTTGTTATTTCCGGGACAATTTTTTTAAGTAACACGATTGTGTCCTCCAAGTCACAAAAAAATTATCAATGTTTTATAAAGGAATAAACATTAGCATTTAAAAATGTAGGCATAGAGATTTTTTTTTGGTAAGTGAAATAAATGTGAGGATTAAGAGAAAATTTTTTATCCTTTACATCTTGTGAGACAAATATTCCATTTAAGAAGCCCAGGTTAAGACAAGCAAAGGAACCTGCCCAAGATTGCATGGCTAGCTGGGCTGGGATGCTGGTCCAACCCAAGTCTTACTGATCCAGAAGTCTGAGTTCTTCCTATGCACCAGGCTGCTTCCCATTCAATGATTTAACACAATGAGGACCTAGCAGAGTGTCTGGCACATAACAGGTATTCAGTAAATGTCAGTAGAAATTGAAGCATTTTATTTTTTAAAGGTAGTGTTGCCGGGCAGCTGCGTTTGGGGAGGTCTCTCCCTGTGCACTAGGTGAGGCACTAGGAAAAACCTCAACCTGGATGAGGGGGAGGGTTCTTGACGCTGGACTAGAAAGAATTCTCCAACAGATAGGAGGAGTATAGGTAAGGAAGGAATTCATTAAAGCAAGAGTAGTAGGGAATGGTAGCTGCCCTCTAGGTGGCTGAGAACAGGGAGAGATCCCGGATGAGCCCCCAAAAGATGATACGGGGGTTCTTGTTTATGGAGTCAAAGGGAGAACTTCACAAATGCTCAAGGTAGGCAATGAAGAAATAGGCTTTTTATTGTTAGAGAGAATAAAGATACAGAACTCCCAGGCATATACTGGGAGGGGCAAGGCTGCCATTTATGGGCTCAGGTCTAGGCGTTTTATGCTGGTTGCGTCCACGAGGAAGAGCAGCTGTTTGTTTTCTGTAGGTTCCTGTCAGAAGGCCAGCTATATTTTAGCCAATCATACTACAGGTCATTTATATTTTTAACAAGTATGCCTTGGTCAAGCTACCTGAGTTATCGTGACTTAATAGTAAAAATGGTTCTTTATCAGGGAGGTTCAGTGAGAACCTTCTTACACATTGTTGCATCGTTCCAGCTGCAAGTCTTCTGTTTTTCACATTCCCAAGGTCCTTAGTAAACATCCCGTCCTTTCCAGGGCCCTTATCTTGCTCTAACTGGACAGGGCACTCCCCCCCCTCCCTCCCCCCCGCTGTCCTTCTCTGTCTCAGTAGTAGGAACACTAAAGATAATGGAGACTAGTGAATTGAGGGAAATTTCAGAAAGGAAATAACTGCTGGGCAAGGTTCAAGCTTTCAAAACAAGGAATATTATAAGTCAAAATGGGACTGAGCCATGAGCAGGAGAAGAAATTTCATCCTTAGAGAGAAAAGTCTAGGCCTAGGCCACATCTGCTGCAATGTCATCCTGTGTCTCTCACACACACTCACTTGGCTGACCTAAAGAGGTCAGTAACAACAGTGATAAATCGTGTTGATACCATATACCCTTGACATTGTGATTAAAATGACATTTTACCTCTGGTTTTCCTCCCCAAAACGCATAAACTAATCTCATCATGAGAAAACATTAAACAAATTCCAACAGGGGGCATCCTACAAAATACCTGACCAGTACTCCTCAAAACCATCAAGGAAACAAAAAGAGTCTAGAAACTAACAGCCAAGAGGACCCTAAGGAGGCATGAGACACAAATGTAATCTGCTGTCATGGATGGGATCCTGGAACAGAAAAAAAAATTAGGTAAAAACTAAAACAATCTAAATAAACTTTAGACTTCTAGTTCATAATGTAGAAATACTGGTTCATCAATAGTGGCCAATGTCACTCATTACGGCATTTTATTAGCATGGCAAATGCCATACTAATGTAAGATAACAATAGTAGAAATGGGATGTGGAGTATATGGGAACATTCTGTATTATCTTCGTAATTTTTCTGTAAATCTAAAACTGTTTTAAAAAATAATTTGTGTATATGTGTGTATATATATATATTCCCAGGTTTAGGAACTAATTCCAGAAGATCACTGACCACTGTTAATATATGTAAGTGAGGTGTACAATAATGAGACTGGTTGGCCCCACACATCACTCTTTCTCATTCAAATGAGTTGTCACTTCAAGGAAGTCACTCAAGAAGCTTTTCAGCTTTGTTCTAATAAGGACACTGCTCAAAACACTCTGAGAATCATCTTCAGAGTCTATAGCACACATGGCAATGAATATTCATTATCTGCAGGTGGATCTGATTTATGCAAATAACCAAAAAAACTCAAGCCAAGACTGATGAGTAAATGGGGTCGGAATTCTGGATAGTAAATGTGTTTCTGGAACTTTAGGATTTTAGAAAGGTAATATGGTACACACACAATATATAAGGCAACAAAACAAAAGGCAAATAATCGGGTCTGGTACAGCACCCCTTAATCAAACAAATTAATATTCCAACAGTGAGATATGTGAATATTCACACTGGGATAAATGAAAGTGGGATAAATGAAGCTATAAATAACCTCATGTAAGTTTAGGAGGTCTGCCACAAAATAAGTTCAGATCAGATTAGGTTTTATCATCAAATGAGTAATGAAAAACTTCCGGTTTTCGTGATTTTTTTAATTTAGAAAGAGAATTGTGGACGTGAATATTTAATGAAGACATTCCATCCAAAGCTGGAAGCCCGACTTACCCTAAACTCTTCTCCTGCAACCCCTTAGCCAGTCATCAAGTTCTATTGATTCTACTTACTATCTTTTGAATCTGTCCTTTCCTCTCTACCCTATGCCAATGATTTAATCTAGCACTTTTCTTTCCATCTCTCACTTGGACACTTTTGTTTCCTCCAAACTGGCCTCCCTGCTGTTTGTGTAGCCATAAAACTCTTCCTCCACGCCTTAGTGTAGATCTGACCATACCACTCCTGCCTTACAAAGTCTTTATGTTTCCAGGATATCTCCTATGATGAAGTCCAGAGTCCTTAGTGTGAACTAAAACATAGCTGTAAAGAAACAAATAACTAAAATGGGGAATTTAAAAAATAAAACAAACAAAACAGATACAGACTCATAAACACAGACAACAAATTGGTAGTTGCCAACCGGTGGGGAATGGACAAAATAGGTGAAGGGAATAAGGAGGTACAAACTTCCATTTACAGAATAAATAAGTCACAGGAATGAAAGGACAGCATAGGGAGTATAGATGATAATGTAACAACTTGGTATGGGGACAGAAGGTAACTACACTTATTGTGGTTAGCATTTCATAATGTATATAGTTGTAGAATCACTATATCATACACCCGAAACCAATATGACATTGTAGATCACATTTTAGTTTAAAAAAAAGAAATTACAGTGCTATTGTTTGTTACCAATCCCCAATGAAGCAATTTCAGAAACTAAGTGTAGGCATTTAGAAACTTTTATAGCAATTTGACAGAGAACTTTTATAGTTATTGAATCTAATAAAAATGGGTATTTTTATTGTTTTTCTAATAATTCATTTTTAATGTATTTTATAGAAGTAGTGGACAATAGGTTGGAAATGTTTTTAAAATCATTTCTTTACTATAGTTTAAGCACTAGTCTTAATGAAACAGCCTCAAACACTTCTCTGAGCTTGTTTTTAACCCCCACCCCCATCCAGCAATAATGAACATTTCTAGTTTCTCAAAAAT